AACAACAGACAGTGGAAAGAAAAAAAACAGCAAATATGTTTAAGTAGACAACCTGCTTGACCTCCTGAGCCAACGAGGATATTCATGGCTAAATAAATGACGTATGGTCTACAGCTGTAAGTTAGCCTATTATGCATAAAACAGACTCCAGTAAGCTACATAATGACCTCAGCCAGATCATTCCTGGACCCTCTCAACCTTTGAACTGCAGCCTTCTCTTGAGATCATAAACTTTGCAAAACTCACTTTGACTACTTTCCAGCAAGGGGTCAACATGACCTTTAGCATTCATAGCCAAAAACCAAAAGACTGAAACTTCATGTTGCACACACCTCAGGCTTTACTCAAGGTAATCTCATGGTTTGCCAACAATCAATCACATCAGGACTGCAACATTTTAAACAGAACTTCACAATTCTGCTTTTTTTCCTCTCTAGTTTTGTTTGTGTCCGATCTATTTCATTGTATCTGGGAAGGTATGATCACAATCCGGTGGTCTGTTTTTTTTCCTATTTTGATTTTTTTGGGTATCTGAACTGCTCTCTGCTACAATACCCCCTGAAAATATATATGAAGACTTCATGACTGTGTCTAGTCGCCAGACTTTACACATTTCTGGACCAAGACGTTGGGCCAACTGATAAAACATTATTACACCTGATAGAACTAAGCTGATTACAGGACTGGAAGTCGATTTCTGCTGATTTTATTTTTGGTCTGCAGTTACAAAGTCAACTGTATTAAAGTATTTTTTTCAAAAGAAAGTTTATATGAAAGTTACACACACACCTTATACAGACACCTCTCTCCTCCCATATTGCAGCCAGTCATGGTTCTCCACTTATTGATCTGGGAAACAAGGGATTCATAAACCATTTGGCATGGTATCCCAAAGTACCTAAAAGAGATGAGGAAAAAAAACAAAAACAAGCAAAGTCACTGAATCTGATTTAGGGTTCGAGTACTTCGGTTGTTTCTAAAAACTTAAGTGGATATTGTACATGAAAGGGTGCCATCTAGTGGACATCTTATATAGCTTTGTATTCTTTTGACTTTGAAATAAAGTGTTTTCAAGACTGGCCATATAATAATAATAGTAATAATACATTCTATTTATAAGCACTTTTAAAAAACTCAAAGACACTTTACAATAGTTTAAAACAGAAAGAACAGCACAGTTATCCCAGATAATACAACAGCATTATTTAAGTGGGAGCGTTCCTTAGCTATAGCTATATAGCTATAACATCTTAATAATGCAAATAATGGAATCAAATCAAATAGATTTACAGTAATATAATGTTTAAGTAGAGTTGTATTATTTCATATTTTTCTAAGCCAACCAATCCAAAATGATTGTGCCAAGATAAAGACTTTGAATAAGTGAGGCCTATATGCTATCAATTACAGGACTTAGTTTCTCCATGTTCAGACTCTGATGTTGCTTAGCTGATGGACAGAAATTATGTAACAGGGCATGCTAGGTGACTAGACTGGCCAGTTCATTCATAACAGGTTCAATTGGAATCAAATAACTAATTATCGATGAGAAAATGAAATACAGACGATTTCAGTTCAGAAACTTTCAGGCAAACATATTTTAGTATCGCTGTCACTCTTGCAAGGCCCAAGGTTTTCTGGGACAGTATTAATTATGTAAACCATGAGATAGCACATCTTTTATCACAGTAATAACAAAAGAATGAAAGCATACCATTCAACTTTGCACTGGGCATGGAGAGGTCCTGCGCGACAAAGCTCAAAGGTGCCAAATGCCAGGATTACTGCAAAGAAACAACTGGCTGGATTCATCCTGTTCAACAGAAGACCAACCCTGAAATAGCTTCAGTGACTGAGAGACATAAAACAAGTAATCAGACAAAAAGAAAAAATCACAGGACGATCATGTGCTTTTCTGAGAAGGAAACAGTCTAAATTCAATTAAGTTGAAAGGAGGAGAGAATAAAGAGAAGCTACACAGACATCTGGTTTATAGAGACACCTAGAGGCCGTCTGTGGTAGAGCAGAAGAGAATCACACCAATCCCTGCCACTGGCTGTTCTGTTACAGTTTCTGCAACTTACATTTAAATGGGCCACTACTGTCAAGCATGTTCAGTTCTAGTTCAAGAGAGCTCAGACTTTTGAGGTATTTCTGTGAATCTGGATTTTTTTTCTCTAGATTGAATGAAAAAACAGAGTTCTCAATCAATGAACGCAAGCCCAATGAATACAGAAAAATAACTCCATTAGTTCAGTAACCAGTTCCTGCCGCTATGCTACCACACAGCTTCATTTCAGCTTGGTTGCTCAACACTCTTGACAGTCATGTCTTGACAAAAGATGATATTTCACACCTTGTCTCACATTTATATTCTGGTAATTAGAAGAAGAAAACAACAATACTAAGGCACAGGGATCACACAGTTAACCTATTCCACTCTGTCACAACATACACAATATATTACAATGGCCAAAACTACCCAATCATGCTGTTATTCTAAAAAGTAGAAGGTACTTAAAGATCTCCTTAAGGTTGAATATGTTAAATCATTTGTTAAAGGAAGAATGTGCAGCATTTTACACTATAGTAGAAAATCCAGTGTATCCTCTGTAAATGTCTCTCTGAGTCATGACTGTCTACAATGATCGAGCAGCGTGAGTCTCACCAGCTGTTTGTCGGCTTTGTTTACATCATGTTTACACTAATGGGACGGCCTTGCCTACTAAATTGTTTCAATCAAGGACTAGATAAAAGAAGAATAACATAGCCTACTTACTGCTTATTTGGATGTCTTTAGATCACGGTCATTCTTTTCAATTTATGTGCAATATAACGCTACAAGTTTACTAAAGCGTGCTAACATTAGCATGCTAACACAACAATGCAGGCCTCAGGCAATTGCAGCTCGAGCAAAGGACAATTTTCTAATTGATAACTCCGTCGTGAGAATAGGAGTGCAGAGGGGGTTGGAGGTGTGCCGCTGGAGGAGAGCGGAGGCTTCAGAAAAGCCAGGGTATCGCCAAACAGCAGTTTGTTTTGGTTTAGTGCTGGTGCTCTAGAGCGACATCTACTGCATCAAAAAGGCAGACATTCTTCCTTTAAGAATCAACAGATTGCTGCGGTTTTTTAACAAATGTAGGTTTGCGGTGGGAAGAACACTCTGTGAACACACTCACACTGACCTGCCCTCTTACTGAGGAGTCCACTCCTAATGAGAAATGTGACTTACTTACTATAAAGCAAAATGTATGTCATTTATCCAACCAGAGGTCGACACATAGGCCATAATATACTTTCACCTAATGGTCTGCGTGAACCTTTGTTATCTGCCCATGTCTCTGTGGACCTGTGTAATGTTTCTGTTTTCTGTCTCTTTATTGGAGGATCTCTACTTGCTCTCATTGCCTCCAGTTAACTTTCTGCAGCCTTACAGAACTTAATGAGCGCTACGCTCATCTTCCATCGCTGGGCTTCTCAGGCATCTCATTAGTTTTTTCCATCCTATCAGATATCCCTACACTAATTTAACCTTGTGGTCTTCCATAATTTGACCCTGCTGAAGGGAATAATGCCTGTGAGTCATCCGTTGTGAATCAATCAGGCATACAGTGTGTTTCCTTAAATCATTCATCCCTGATAACAGTGTGCATCATCACTTTTAATCATCCCTGTCAAAGGTCTCTTTCATTTCAACATGCTTTCATATGTAAATATGGCCATTCTACTCCACTCTGCATTGGGTTAAGTTGTACAGAACCCATGTGTTGCGAAATCTTCAACTTCATTTTGTTAAGTTATATGTATAACTTGTGCCCTTCATGGTTACATAGATAAGTATTATACTAAAATAACAGAACTCAAAATAATCTCAAACAGCAAGAATTACACAAAGTACTGAACAGGGTATGTCCTTTAAAAAGACTTGAGCTTGAAGACATAAAAGTAAATGTGAATGATTACAAAATACAAACAATTTAAATGTTTCAACTGTGACAGAGGAATAATAAGGAGATTCGTCCATCACTAATGAGGATCTGAATGACTCACACAAGCCATTAATGGGAAAAATGAAACATTTAGAAAAAGAAAGGGATATCATTCTGAGTTCTTGTTGTCTAGGCCTGGTGCACTCAGGGCAGAAAGTCATAGTATCACCTCATCACACACAGACATTGTCTGTTCTGTCACAAGTCCGAGTAGATTGACCTAACTATAACTAACTAACCATATACATGTATGTGAATATGTGTACATGCATGTTGTTCTCATTCAGGGAGGTATACTCTGCAAACTCTGCAAACTACTTGATCTGAAAGAGTTTTAAAAAATGTGTGTTTGTATGTAGAAAAAAATCTAATCTTAAAATAATAATATCCACAGTAACTCCTTTTTTCCATCTAGAAGTCATATTTAGGGGCGCAGGTGACCTAGTGGTTAGTTTTCACACAACAGAGGATTTAGTCCTTGATGCTTCTCCTTTTCGAATGTCATCCCCACTCTCTCTCTCTCTCTCTCTCTCTCTCTCTCTCTCTCTCTCTCTCTCTCCTTGTCTCATAATAAAAACATAGAATTTAATGGAATGATGCATTAGTTTTCCTACAGTCAAGTATTGTTATAAACTGTACCGTGTTGTAAGATATCTGGGGCAGTTACTGTTGTCACTGTTTGAAGATAATGATAAACACCATCTAATACACTGTCTTTAAAAAGGAAACCTATGCAATCTGCACTTGTCAAATTTGTGATTTTTTTTTTTTTAACCATGTGGGCACTTCGTGTCAATGTAAAATGAGGTAAATGTTTCAGTTGAGCCACAAGGGATTGAGATTGTGATGTACACAGATTGATAACCATCTGTTGATCACCAGACAATGTTTACATAGTCATGCAGAATTCCATACAAAGAAATTGATTTTCAAATTCAGAGAAGCAAAATGGAAGGGGATGTATGGATGGATGGACATTGTGTTCATTTGAGAGTCAAAAGAAGGCAGAAAGGTCGAGAGGGGAGGTGAACAAGGTGGTAATTAAGGAGGAGAATAATGAACAGGCTTTTGCACAGAAGAGAGGATGGTCATATAGCAGACAACAGGGGATAAAATACATCTGCTTCTGACTAGCTGTAAACGATAAGAGAGAAGCAGAGAGACTATTACTATTGTGAGTCCTCCTGCAGGATCACTGTGGCCTTGAGTGATGAAAAGCACGGAGGAGGAAGCCAGCTTTTTCCCTGAACACGACTGCCAGAGCTCCACTGCACCACCAGCCTCAAGCGAGACTAAAAGCACTGCCAGGGTAACAGCCACTCTGGGGGGAACAGCCTCTGGGTTCACTACTCTCCTGGGAAACAGTGTTGTGCTCTCCACACTCATCCACAGACAGACAGAAAGCCGAGGAGCAAGTATCAAGAGCCACAATGACGGAACCGAAGTCTAAAAAACAAGGATTTAAAAAGTGTCGGAGTGCCACTTTCAGCATTGATGGCTTCAGCTTCACCATTGGTAAGAGACTCTTTGTTACATTGTGGTTTATATCTGTGTGTGTGTGTGTGTGTGTGTGTGTGTGTGTGTGTGTGTGTGTGTGTGTGTGTGTGTGTGTGTGAGTCTGAATGTTTGCCTGCACATTTGTGTTGGAGTTAGAGGGATATTGCTTCTTCATATTGTGTGGCTGAACAGATGGTTCTCTTTACTTAAGATTTATTGTGTTTGAATTGTAGGTGTTTACTCTAGTAGTACATCTTCCTCCATGTGTGACATGTATTCCTTCTTTAATTTAAAATTTAAAAAAACCCTGACTGAAAAGACTTTTTTAAATATGCTGAGTTCTGTATGGACAACTTTAACACAATAACAGTTTTTTTTCTACATGACAATATTTTCAGACTTAAGTATTTAATTCTACTTCATCTTATGCTACCACACTCATTACTTCTCTTCTGATTCAGATTTCATTTAGTTTTCTCTTTCAGGTTTAGTGCCATCAAAGTTAGCTAGCTATTGACTACATTCAGCAGCAACACTGTGGCAATTGTATGGTGTAAAAGTACAACGGTCAGTAGAGACTGTGAGGAAAACATGACCGACTGGCAGCCTTTTAGTTTTCCATCAACAAAGTGAAAAATCACCAACATATTGGTGGAATAGTCACGCTTTTTTAGGTTTACTTTTTGGGCTTTTAATGTCTACACTTAGAGAAAGGAAAGTGGATAGAGTCAGAAATCAGGGTGAGCGAGAGAGAGAGAGAGAGAGAGAGAGGGCAATGACATGCAGGAAAGGATTAAAACCTGGGCCGCCTGCTTGGAGTACTCCCTCCGGTAATGGGATGCGCGCACTAACCACTACGCTACAGGCGCCTTCTCAAGGAACGTTCAAGTTGAATGTATTTAAGCATAATGTCCATGGTGATGGATGCAAAATGTGTTAGCACAACAGCATTATCAGTATGTCAGAGGATAATTTTTAAAATCTCTCCTGAATAAAAAACTCACCACTTCCACCGGTGTTTGGAGGCTATAGTCTTCCAAGTGGGCGGGCCCAGGTTCGAATCCAGCCTGCCTCTCCTTTCCAGTATGTCATGCCACTCTGTCTCTCTCTCTCTCCCTGATTTCCGTCTCTATCCACTGTTCTATATCTCCATTAAAGTCATAAAAAGCCCAAAAATAAATCTTTATTTTTTTTATTTTTTTTTAAAACAGAAGTAACATTAAAAAGGATGAAACACAAAGGTGCCATAGTTCAGACAAAGAATAAAGTTAATGACATGACCTCTTAAAAGCACCATTACATATGTCTGCTTGGCATCCCATACAGTGTCAGAGCTAATTTTCGATCTAGCAAGTCTTTTTTTTACTCTTATCTTTGAGGTCTGCGCTTTAGTAATATCTGTTTGTTTGGTTACTCAGTCAAATTATTCATCTCCCCATGTTTCCTTTAGTTCATTGCCTGCTCTGTTTACTTGCCTCTCTGTAACATCTGCTTCCCATGATGTCATAGGTTCAGTAGGAAATGCAACTTTGATAACCCACTCCTTCTGTATTTGTCCTGCAGCAGCTGGATGCTGCAGTCAGAAAGGGGCCACAGTGGTTAATAATCTCTCATAATGATCTTTCACTCTTGGATAAAAACTCAATTAATTTTGAAAAGTATATCTGCAAAAACAACTTCATACTCTCATCATAAATATTTGTAACTCATACTTCTAAGAGACGATCTGTTTCATCTCCTGTCTGTATTTGGTAACAGGGCTGTGATCTCCAGTTGGCAACTAGTTTTACACCCACCTCTGCTTTTGAGGGTCAGGTTAGTAGGAATATAGGGTGCAGGTTCTGAGCTCTTGAATGACTCTACGGTCAAAATGGCCAAAAGGTCCCCAGGCTGTGTGTAGGCGTCCTTGATGTTACCTAACCACTTGAGAACAATGTTTTCTTTTCTCTGTGCTGGATCTTAACCTTTGCTGAAACTGCCAGGGATTTATTTAATAAATATCAAAATACATATTTGATTCATGTAAACAAAATAATGTTTATAAATCACTTACATTCTGGCAAAGAGTTGCATATATCAGGCTAATGCCTTCTGCTGCTTTCAGAGTCAGAATGGTTTTATTCTCATTGCACAGCTGTAAGTGTGGTGCTTCTCCTAGGAGGAACTCACATACTATATTAAGGCAGCATTAGTCAACACGTAAATAAAAAATCATAAAAATGTGATCCAGAGAATATAAATGAAGGAGAGCAAAGCTACTGTGAACGTGCACTGCCACAAAAAGAGATGTGGGAGTACCAAGTATTTTGTTTATTGGAATAGAACCTTGTAAAAACCATGTTGCACAGTAACAGAAAGCAGTAGTAGTTTGTTGGCTCTGCTGGAATATTTACTGACACCACCCTGCAACTCTTCTTCCTAGCACCAATTCATTACCAATGATATCTCAAGACACAAACAAACAACAAAACAAACAAAAGGAGCAGGTCTATAACATACTTTTTATCCTACTATTATTATATTACTGTATGAGATGCAAAAATATATGTCATATATAATAAAAACCATAGGCCTAGGAAGAACTATGTTTAGTGTGATTAAACTATACTGAAGTGTAAATTTTTTTCTTTTTTTTATGTACAAATGTGAATCAGGTAGGTCTGTATCTGTGGAAAAGAAGGCCATGTACTTTTTGTGTGTATGTTTCTAAGTGTTTACAGACTGCTGTCTCTATGGAAACCAGAAGAGAAGGGAAATGACTGTGACATCATTTTGACTGGTGCAAATAAGTGTGTGTGTGTGTGTGTGTGTGTGTGCGTGTGCGTGTGCATGTGCGTGTGCGTGTGCGTGTGCGTGTGCGTGTGCGTGTGTGTGTGTGTTGTCAGTTGTTAGGGAGCTTAGCTCAGGGAGTCATTATCACTAATGAAGTGGCCTCTGTCACAGAGCGTAATCTGGCTGCACTTCATCTTGTCCTACTCTGTCTGATTCGAGTCATATAGCGTCTCCAATCACAGATTCCTCTCTCTCTCTCATTCTCTTTCCCTCTGTTGCTGTCTCTCGAACACTCACACCATGGATTCTTTCTTTCTGGTTACTTTCCAATCAAAGTTGGAATTGTAAGCTGTCGTCAGATACTCCAGCTTTGAGCCTCTTTATTGGTGCAGTGATGGAGCTATAATAACCTTTATAAAGCTTTACAGATCAACCAAAGATACTTTATTAACCATGAAGCCTCATAGGATTTCTGGTAAATTCTTGGGATTGCCATCAAGTAACGCCACAGAGTGCATCTTAAATTTACATAAGGTGTAAAACCCAGGTGTTTTGGGCAGTCTGCTGGTTTTACCTCTGCACAGGGTCAAGTTGGGAAGAGGTTTTATTTAACAGGTCACCAAATCGAGTACTAAGATTATTAGATAAGCATGTAAGTAATATTACACACAGATGGGAAGAGGGAAGAGAATGGAAGTTTTGCGTCCAACACAATCATTTGAAGAGGTCCAATCAGGCAAAATTAGAACACCCTAGGCCCTAAAAATAGCCGACTTACATGTGAAGCAAAAAAATATTCTAATCCTTTTCTTCACAGTTGCCAATGAGGCTGGAGACAGCAAGCGTCGTCCACTCGCCCGCTTTACACGTGAGTTCACCAGATTTCAGCATTTCAAGTTTAATTCTCTAATTTCAGCAATATTTTATAAGGCACTAGACAAGGCTGCCCACTATCACCCTCATTGTTAGCTCTGGCAATCAAACCTTTAGTTTACAAGATGAGACACAAGAAATTAGAGGTAGAGAGAAAGAGAAAGAGAGACAGAGACAGAGAGACTTTGTGTTTTGTGTCTTGGGATAAAAACTGCATAAATGTCTCATGTGATCCTGATTTCTCTCTTGAAAAGTGTAAATTATGTTTTGTTATGTAATATTTTGGTTGGTAAAAGATTGTAAGACCCTGTGATGGAAAGCATGACATTAATATAGATAATTATATTCAAAGATGTGGTGATGTGAAAAAAGATAAAAGCAGATCAAAAGATGTTTTTTTTCCTTGTGAACATTCTCCAGGCTCTCGCTCCCAAAATGCCTTATGCACTCCTGTCACGGCCCATGCCGGCATCAGTGAACACAAAGGAATTCCGTTGGATCCACGCAGCTCTGAAGAGATCCTGGCTGATGAGATGCCAATCCCTGATGCCCCCGACGCCATGGAGAAGACTGCTATCAGGTCATACATGCGCTCATGCACATAGACTGTATACTCTCTGAATACTATTAGCACATTGAACACTGGGTTCAATTCCATTCAAACAACTTGATTCACCTTTTGGAAATGAGTTTGCAGCAGCTTGTACATAAGACATACAATAAAAGGGACGTGAGGACAATGATAAAATAATCATAGAAAAGATCGAATATGACTTAGGATAAGTTCTTTAAAAAATATTCTAGTATTGAGCCGGCTGATGAATAAAAAACAGAATATAGTAATAACAGGATCAGTCTTAGAAAATTATTCAGGATTCAGTCTACAGTAAAACAACACAAAGAGTCCTTTAAGAAATAGGAAACCCCCTCCTATTTTTCCTTCTCTCTTTCTCTTCACTCTGATTGCATTACTTAACTTGTCTTTTATGCATTCTGCTGCACAGTGACATACAGAAGTACTCCATCTACTAAGTGTGTGGGATACGTATGCCATTGCAACATATGCTCAACAAAGCTCTTCTATCACTTTTATTTGTTTCTTTATTTATCGCTTCTGCTGTTTTTTCTTTTCATTTTTCCTTTTTTATTATTATTATGTGTGTGACTGAGATTTTCTCTTTGCTTGTTGAAAACTTAATAAAATATTCTTGAAAAAAAAGAAAAAAAGAAATACGAAACCTAAAGAGGATTGCTAAAGGGTACGTAGGGAACAACAACTAATTTCCTAAAAAAGGAAACACTTAGCGATCAGTGATTGCAACAAAATGCCGCGGCATATTCAAAAACGTTGAGCATAACTTTACCTTGCCGCCAACACTTTTCATGGCACCTAACATTGTGAATCTGGAAACATGGAAAACATTAAATCACAGCTCGTTGGTGATTTGCAAGCACTGGGCAGAGGACTGGTATAAAACCAGTAAACCCTGTGGCACAGCTTTAACATCCTCTAATGTTCCCCTGTTTGCATGAGCATGTTACCTTTGGCAGTGAAAATAAAATAAAAACATAACATCTCGCTCATTTTTTTGTACTGGAATGAACTTCATGAGACTTTTTAAAGGCTCCTTCTTCTTCAAAGTCAACAAAGATGACTCCTCAATTTAAAGGCGAATACTTCCGTCAAACTCATGCTACTTCTTTGCGACATGATGTCCATGTTGCAAAGAAATGAGATATATAAAAAAAGATTAGTTTCATCCTCACACTTATTTCACATCAGTTAGGATTCAAAGTGATTGTGACAAGTATGCCTTTTTGTAACGGTATAACAAGACCCAAAATGTCATTTTTATGTTTAAAATCATTTTTTCTTTTTCCAGATTAAGATGAGACGGTGTTATTTTAAGATCTCCTGCTTTCTTTCTCTTCCCAAGGCTGAAGTCTGAATCAACTCCCACAATCAAGCATGTCTCATAGTCAACATGAAGTTGTGATGCTGATGTTGGTTTGGTGGCTTTGTGTTGTAGGTTGCGATGTCTTGTTAAGCAGCTGGAGAGAGGAGAAGCCTCTGTGGGGGAGCTTAAGAAGAACCTGGAGTATGCTGCCTCAGTCCTTGAAACTCTATATATTGAGGAAACAAGGTAAGGAGCTTCAACCTAATTCTACTTCAAACCCTGTATTAAATATTTCCTATGTGATAGCAAAAGTTCCAAATTAAGGGATTGTGGATAGACCCAGGAAGTGAAAACATTTCAAGAGAGTCCTACTGTTCGGCTTGTCCAACTTCACTGCTCCTGTTTTAAGTCATGAAGTGTTTATGGCAGCAGCAAAACATTGTTTGAGTTGGTTTCTAGGCACTGACAGCATCACTCCTCACAGATTGTTTTAGATGAGGGATTCTCAGGAGAGGATGAGATTATTCCTCATGCTGGTGGATGCTCCAGTGGTGTTGGGGTTGAAAGTAAAAGCGCAGTACTGGTGTTGGGCAGCGCTGGTAATGACAGAAGAGAGGGGAGAACAGAAATCTTGCAGCTTACCCAGACTGCTAAAGTGAGATGACGCGTTCATCAGGTGCGAGTGGAGAATGATTCATGTCAAGTGTGAAACCGGGGCAGCTCGGTGCCTGTCTGGACTAGCTCATAGGTGTCACTGGGTGTTTGTGGCTGAGTGGGCCATCTTCTTATCTGCTGTTTGCTGTTTCAATCTCTGACTTCTGCAGTTTACATATCAGCCTTTGGAAGCAGCCTTAAAAAGCAGCAGAAAAAGGTTAGAACCGAGCTATAAGTTCAGTCATTAACCATTTACCAAATCAGTGAGGATTCCCCACTTAACTCTCCTTGACTACATTTTGATTAATCTGCATCAATGAGGCTGTGGGCAGAAAGTGTGACCAGCAGCTCAGCTGATCATTTGTTTGTTTGTACAGTAACTGTACATATTGCATTTTTTTAAGTGTCATTTTTTTTTTTTTTTGCCTGCAGACGGCTGGTGGAGCCAGAGGATGAGCTGAGTGATATCCAGTCAGACTCGGTGCCATCGGAGGTCCGTGACTGGCTGGCGTCCACTTTCACCCGGCAGAGAGGTCTGATGCGCCGTAATGAAGACAAGCCGCGCTTCCGCAGCATCGTCCATGCAGTGCAGGCTGGCATCTTTGTGGAAAGGTTGGGTTATTTATATTGACATCAATCAGTGATAAAATCATAATTATTTGCATTCATCACACACTCCCGCTACAGCCAGAGGCCGCCTTCCACACACTTCCATCCGCTCTAGGAGCTCTCGAAGGCGGACAAACTCATCACACACTCCCGCTCTCAGCCAGTGCCTGCAGAGACTGTCGTTTGTAGGCTGGAGAATGAATACAGACACACAGACTCCTTCACAGACTTTCACATGTGTATGACCACTTACCTCCTCTGTAAACATTATGCCAATAATATCCAGTGTTTCACGGCCGATGATGACGCTCGTTTGTGTACGTACGAGCACGTATGAGGAGCACACACGACCATGCGGTGTCGCTACAAACGCAGTATTTTTGAAAGTTTCATATAGCCCCTTTAAGAAACAGAACACTTTTTTTCCTGTGCTAGACATTTTACCACACTGCATATGAAGGAATGATTTGACATGTCTGTGTGTTTGTATGTATTGCATCTCTGTTACAGGATGTACAGAAGAACTTCAAACATGGCCGGTCTCAGTTATCCCCCAAATGTCATCACTGTACTCAAGGTATGAATGTGTGTTGTCCGTTTATGAGTCACACCTTCATCATAATTATTTTAATTGAATGGCCTGACTGAGGGTCTAGAATACAGAATGAGGAGGTTGACGTTGAGAGATGTTATGATATGACTGTATGATAAGTGAAAGAGCCAAAGGTAGGTGTTATGAGACTGAACCCTGGGAAACTAAATCACAAAATATTTACAAACTTAACCCGTATTTAATAAACCATGAACCAAGAATAGCCTTGGCTGACTGTAAGGAGAGAACAAGCTTCAGTATATGACTTTACAAGTGGATGTTATACATTTTGCTGCAGACATACAGCCGTGCATTGCATCACTTTTTGTTGTTACCTAACAGGGGAAGTAGTGCTGACTGCGAACTACTGTAGTTTATAAAACTGACTGTTGATAAGTACCTTATAGAACCTACTCAGAAATTCAAAGTCCCTATCCATTTAAGAGTCGTTGAATCGATGCAAGAGGCAATCCAATCAGATTCTGACCCTTGTGGTTGCAGGGTAACGATGCTTTGAGGAGAAAATTGTTGACACACCATTTAATCGCAATTTTTCAAATTTTACATCATGTCAACCATGATGTCACGGGTATTATATTGACTAATCTTTAATGTCCTAAATGTTTGCTGTGCGTCTTTCAAGTGACCCAAAAAAATGCTTTGTTAAGACACTCCCTTCACCCCTCTGCTCCCTCCTGCCTCCACACCTCCCTCACGTTCTGTTTCACGAGCAAATTTCTGTGAGGTGGCGGGAGCAGCAGACGAGTGTTGAGTCAATTTGACGTAATAACATGCATCTCAAAGTTGATTCGGTTGTTTGTCTTTTTGGCCAGAAAGTCTTATCTAGGGTTTGGAGAGTCTGTTGGTTCTCCTTCAGTTATACTCCATTTTTAGGACCCTATGAACAGCATCCCTGAGTGAGAGGGGGGGGTCCCTCTTCCCCCACGTGATGTCACGGCTAACAGCTGGTGAGGGAGGGGTTCACAAGAAAACAATCATATCTAACATGTTTGAGCCTCTGAGCCAAACATAAACAAATGAAAGGAAGTGCTGTCCATGTGAACGCAGAGCTGAGAACAACAAATTCAGAGGGAGTTTGACTTCACTCTCTTTTTAGGAGGACCACAATATATTTACTGAGGGTTTATTTGATTTATTATATATGTATATATAATGTATGTTTACAGAGTGCTGTGTATTTGTCTACCTTTAAATGTTCCTATGAATGAACAAATGCAGGGGTTTGTAAAAAGTTACATGTTTACTAAACTTGTATGTATCTGTTTTAGGATGTGGACATGTGGTCCTTTGACGTGTTTGCACTGAATGACGTGAGTGGAGACCATGCTCTGAAATTCGTCTTCTATGAACTCCTCACAAGATACGACTTAATCAATCGGTTCAAGGTATGAAAAAAACACCCATTATCTTTATCAGGCAGTAAAGAAATTGGATTTGTCCTTGTCATGTAACTTCTGAACTTCATTAGTAAGTACAAACATACTCTCTGTTAGGGATGTAATGATACCCTGAACTCTCAACACGATAGGTATCGCTTGGTTCACAATAAGGTTGCATCACAATATTGTATAATTTTCTAATTTGAAATGACATTGAAGTCAATATATTAATAAAAAATCATTCATTTTTCATATTTTCTTCATTTATGCAAGGGAGGTTTCAATCGTACGTTATGTATATATATTTTTTGGTGTCTTGAGCGTCTCATTGTATCATAGTTTTAAATGCAGCATCGTGTTAGTTGTGTTATTTGTGTCTTTCACCATTCCCTTACAATACTTGCACAATGTTTTTATCTTGTCTGTTCATCCTGCTTTGAAACAAGATGCATTCTCTGCCCAAAAATGTTCACTCACTTATGAATGCCTCTCTTCTTCAGCTACTGCCAAAAGCAGATAGTGCCCTCTGCTGGTTACAAAAAACTATCACAACATTATATTCTGCCTCTTGGATTCAAATTGCTCGTATTTGTAGTGACTTTTAAGTATCATGCGGTATCATTGCATTCCAAGTCTCTGTCCAAACTTTCTTTGTTTAAAGCAAACACAATCGTTTAAAAAAAGTCTCCACTGCGTCAGTTTTGATTAAGTAAAATTCATAACCTGTTGGTGTATATCACCTATAAGAAATAAACAAAGGTATTAAATTATCCAAAGTCATCCTATCAGGTTATGTGACCATTAACCTACACAGGCTTTGTCTTTGTTTTGTAACTGCTATTCCAGGTCCCTATTTCTGCTCTCATATCTTTTGCGGACTCCTTGGAGGTGGGTTACAGCAAACACAAGAACCCCTACCACAACCTGATGCATGCTGCTGATGTCACACAGACCATCCATTACCTGCTTCTCAAGACTGGTATGGTGGTAAGTTAAGGGTTGTAAAATGGGGCAGAACAGGGCTATACCATGTTTTTGGTTTGCTGAGCTTCTCATTCTCGCATAATTTGACATGCAGCGTCACGTTAGTTGTGCTATTTGTGTCACTCACCAGTCACTTGCATCATTTGCATATTTGGGTTTATTGTTGGGCAACATCAAGGTGTCTTGATATTAGAGCAACAGACTGAAAGCCAAAAGGTTTCATGTTTAAATCCATAGCCAAATGGGAAAAAAATATTGCAGATTAACAGGAATCGAGTTCATTAACTTAACCTTTGGGTTAGTGAAGCAACTTTTTTCACTTTGCCGCTACACTATGACTATGAACTGCCTGAGTTAAAAAAAATTGTAAACAATAATTTCTTGTAGACTGATTTCACATAAATGGAGCTGTTTTACTCTGTAGCTGATTCTGCTTCAGGCATCAGAACTGTTTGTGTTCGTGTCAACACAAGACAAGAAGAAGGGTCAGCAGTGGGTTGTAAGTTACCCAACCAATCGTTACAAACAGTCAGAACATTTTGGTCTTTTTAAAGAACGGCAAAAGCCACCACTGGCAAACACATTTAAAATGCCACTGGAAATGTTTGTTGAATAATGCAGATATACTTAAAGTTGGTTAAAATTTAAAAAAAAACTTTTAACAGGCCTAAGAATATCAAAATTTCAAAAGTCAAATATACACACACCACACACACACGCGCACACACACACACACACACACACACACACACACACACACACACACACACAAGCAAGTGTTTTGCCACTGTTCCCCATACAGTGATGGTCTGCCTGTTGTTATGAGTTCTAATTTACTATAAATAGCATTTTTATTTTTTTCTCTCCTGCAGTTCCCTTTTCACAACATCAGGTGAACCTTGCTTGGAAGACTTTTGCTCTTAATAATGTAGTAAATCCAAACAACATTGCACTAACATGGTGCAGAAAGAGATTAGAAATATTTGTACGTTTTTAAAACAACAGTTCAGCCACACAGGCGTTTCACTCTCACATTCATTCAGTCGGGATGCATCAGCAACAAGAACAGAGAAAGTTCAGTTAACCATAATTTAAAAGCATGGATCAAAATTGTTGACGTGGTCTTTCTGGACTCCATGTTTTGTTTTGTTTTTTTAAGTCTTACGATTTGATTTTTTTCCCTGCAAAAAACTCAAGCCAGTCTCATTCTGTCTTTTCACAGCACTGGCTCACTGAGCTGGAGATCTTTGCGATCATTTTTGCAGCTGCCATCCATGACTTTGATCATACGGGGACCACCAATAACTTTCACATTCAGACCAGGTAATTTAAATGATGTGTTTCATTGAAATCACTGCAGCTGAAAGATGGTTCAGTTTTAGATTCCATGATTCGAAAATTTGTAAATTATTCTGCATATCTAACCTGTTGAAACAATTACAAAGAGTGTGACCCTGGAAGTTGTCAAAGACTAAAGTGTTACTTTCTTACTGCAATGTAGTATTCTTCTTATTCTTCTCCTGCCTCTTATTATTACTATTAGTAGTAGTAGTGTTATTATACTTTTTTTTAGTAGATAAGCTGCGTAATCATTGTAGCTGTGTGGCATTTGCAGGTCCAACACAGCCATGTTGTACAATGACCGAGCTGTTCTAGAGAACCACCATGTGAGCGCGGCCTATCGTCTCCTTCAAGACGATGAAGAAATGAACATCTTCTCTAATCTTTCTAAAGATGACTGGAGGTGAGGAGGACGAGCTCCATGGCCTGGTTGATAAAAATGAATCTAAGAGGGTTAAAGGTTAAATCGGGTCGTTCTCCAGAAAAAAAAGATAATGTGACCAGAAAAATCCATTTGGAAAAAAAAACAGGATAAAAGTGCCAGACAATGGCATCATCCGTAGAAGAATTGTGGATTATAATATAATTCTTATCTGGATGAAATCTTTTAACAAACCAGGCCCAGATTTTCAGTTTCACACCATGCTATGCTGGGTGTAATGTCAGACGTTATGTCTCTCTGTTTCAACATAAATAATCTTGTAGTATTAGTCTAAAGCTTTGGCCTAACGCTTCACAATAAGGATGATAAATTGTTGATCTATGTTGCCAACCTGGTCCCCCACAGATAGTGGACAACATGAGCACCTGGACCTCGTGCAGTATTACTGAATATAAACATCAAAACACCATGCATCACTTTAACAACTCAAGGACACCAAATAACAAGTTAAACAGAGGCCTCGGTGTCTTAGCTTGGTCTGGCTAACCGTGATAGAACTTTAGAAAAATCTCCCCTTCCATGAGACTCATGCACATAAAAGTGTTCATTCTGAATTTAGATATACTCATCATTTCCTGCTACTTTGTGGTTCTTGACTTCATGTAGTTACATTAATAAAAAAGATTACACAGTGACAGTGAGTGTTAAGGTTGCTGTCTCAAGCCTAATACAACATAACTGGATTGATTAAAGGAACAACTAAATCTCTGTGATAAAAGTTTACAATTTAGGGCATATTGTTCTTTTAACTCATTGAAACCTCTGAGGTGTAGAGCAAAGTAAAGTATAACTTTGACATTTTGTCTTGATGATTTATCTAGATGAGAAAGATTAGGAATGACCAAGTTGATTTTATCGTTCAGAAAAATCTTCACGAGAATCCATGAAATAGTAGGTAAGATATCCCTGTCATTTCACTCTCTTTTAGAGAACTGCGGGCTCTGGTGGTGGAGATGGTTTTGGCCACTGACATGTCTTGTCACTTCCAGCAGATCAAAGCCATGAAAAGCCTCCTGCAGCAGCCTGAAGCGTGAGTGGTGCATCGCAATTCTGACTCAGTTAAAGCTATTTTATTTTATTTTTTAAAGCAATTTTCATTTTTCTTTTATGTCTAAAAATTTAAGAATAACAAATGGAAATCTTTTTTAACTAACATTTAATATATTTTCAGACTACATCGTTACAAAATGACTCCACTAAAACATACTTTATTTAAACACGTCATTGACAGCTGACTGGAATGTGTTTGCAGGATTGACAAACCAAAGGCCTTATCTCTTCTGCTGCACACTGCTGATATCAGCCACCCGGCCAAACGCTGGGCGCTTCATCACTCCTGGACCTCATCCCTGCTGGAGGAGTTCTTCAGACAGGTAGTCACCAAAATATCTCCTCACCCACTTCCTTCTTTACTGTCGTGGAGGCTGTTAAAATAATGTGGGGTAGCCAGCTAACTCTCTAAATAATCCTGCGCCACACACAATTAGTCCTCAAAAACATCTTTGTCCACACATGAAATGGTTACATCTAACATTGCACTAAACTCAAGTAGACAAATGTAGTTGTTTTCAAGCTTCTGCTGTTAGGGTTATTGTTTTGTGCAAGTCAACCTGCCCATGAGAACCTGATTTGACACTAACCTCTGACATTGAATGTGTTCTCAGGGCGACAAAGAAGCAGAGCTGGGTCTACCTTTCTCCCCTCTCTGTGACCGCAACTCCACCATGGTTGCCCAGTCCCAAATCGGTAAGGTCAAAATGCTGCTCAGCATGGAATCGACCAGTATATTACATTTTCATAGTTCTAAGGCGGCTGTGGCTCAGTTGGTAGAGTCTACATTTATCATCAAGGAAGGTCAAGGGTTCGATCCCCAGCTCCTGCAGCAACATATCCGCTGTTCTTGCGCAAGACACTTAACCCTGAATTGCTCCCGCTGGCACATCTGGATGTGTAACACATTTGTAATTTAAACAGTGCATGCTGGTTAACTCACACTGCGTTGGATGATTTCACCCTCATCTTATATGGCTGATTCAGCCTGAAAACATCTTCCAGAACAATCAGAATCCAAAAGGTGAATTCTAATTTATCATGCTAAATGTGGTGTCTTGCAGGGTTCATTGACTTCATTGTGGAGCCAACTTTTACAGTGTTGACAGAAATGACTGAGAAGATTGTGACACCGCTCATTGATGAGGCGTCTCGCTCTGGACTAGCTGGATACAGGTAACACAAACGAGAATCTCATAACCTGTATGAGACTTTAGACCTTACTATTGTCAGCAGGGGCATGGCCAGAGGGGTGGCCAGGGGTTGAATGGGCCTCCCTTTAAATCTTATTGGCCACCCCAGTTGCCACCCCGAAATACCCTAACTATGATTGGCTATTTGCCTTGCCAGGGGTGGGACTTGTGTTAAAATCCACTATGCAGGCTGTATTGCATCAGGTAGCCTTAAGTTTTCAGTCTGCAGATGTTTGTTTGCAGTTTTAAAAATACTTTGGACATAAATATTGTTTGAATCCTTGAAGAATTAAGCTAAGAACATGTATATGTTGTCATTATCTTGTGTTACTTAAAAGTGGATGTGATTAATGCCGACCAGGGGGGAAAAATAAATGTTCTTCATTCGGCTGTGTGCACCCAGACTTCAGGCCATCCCAGCACTAGTCAGTGCCCCAGTCCAAAAAGACTGGACACACCCCTGAGTGTCAGATAATGCTGATACCATCTTGAATTTCTTTTCCCTTTGACACATTTAATATCTTGATTATATTTCTTCAATTATGTAGCCACGACATAGTTTTGCCCAGGTTGTATATGAAACTGTATTACTGAGAAAACACAACACGTGAAAAATAATACATAAAAATAAATAAATATCAAATATTAAAACTACTTTGTTTAAATTAATGTACTTCTTACATGTTTTTCACTGATTGATATTTTTCAACACGACATTCATTGTCCTTGTCTGTGTAAGAGATAAAAATCAGAAAGGAATATGTGCTACAAAAACAAGCAGTATCTAAATAACCTGAGGACCCTGCAGCAGATGTCAGTGTTGAGTCATGAGATGAGGAGAGGAACACATGACTGGTTCTTTACAAGGAGCCAGCTGTCCTTTCACTGATAATATTTGACAACTACAAATTAAAGGCAAATAATGGCAATTAACTTTTATGATAACAGTTTTCAGTTCTTGATTTCTGAATGGGTTTTAGACTGGACAAGTAAGGAGTAACTGCAAAAACTGCTGATGGAACAATCCCTAGAAATAATCACACACAACAGCCCATATGTCAAACCAGGAAAGACTATCCATAGTTGCGTTTTGCATACTGCCTCAAAAAAAATAATTGTATTTTTGTATGGTGTAATGATTATTAAATCACCAGTACAAACACAGATTTTAACTCAAGTACTGTATAGATTGTATGGACGTGAGCACATGTTTTTGTACTTCACACATGCTTGTCTATGCTGCCTCAGTGACATCAGTATTAATGGCAGCGATGGAAAGAACTCCAGTGTGAAGAGTGCAGGCTCAGAGGGCTGCTGCTCTTTGGCCTCAGTGGACTTCAGGAGCTTCAAGGTCACTTGGAACAAAGAGATTTGTCACAACAGGGAGACTTGGAAGGCACAGGCAGCCAAAGGTAGGCACACTGACTTCTTCAAATCTCTCAGTAAAATAAGTTTGGCTGTGGTGTGTGTGCGATTTCCGGGGCTGCTGGCCTCCAGCGAACACTCGACAAACTGCAGGATTTTGCTCTTCTGCATTGGATTCAGTTTTCAACACCAGAGGTTGCTGTTGGCAACTAGTTGTTTTTTAGTGTGCAAATTAGCTTCTTCATATGTATAGACTCCATTTGTTTGTCAATAAGCAGCAACTTACATTTGGCCCCTGTACACCTACTTCCTTTTCCTCCTGTTTTCTTATTTGGTGTGTGCTTATTAAGTCAACAGCCAAGCATATCAAAAATGTTTACTTCCATCAATGTATGTGCTTTTCTAATGTTGTTTTTTGTGTGTGCATGCTGGTAGACCTGGAGAATTCCAAGAACGAGACAGGGGAAGGTTGTAAGGAAGACAATAAGACAGAGGTGGAGAAACAGTCAGACAGACATGTTGACATGTCCAAAACAAGACAGGTCAAGATGAAAACAGAGGAGGAGGACGAAGAGGAGGGGGAGAACAAAACACCAAAGGAGGAATTACAGCCTACAGAGGAGAAAGGAGAAAATAATTCAAGAATGGCTGCAGACTCACTGTCAGGATCGGGTCAAAATAACGGAGACAAGAAGGCAGAGGACCACACAGAGAATCAACAGAATGGTAAATCCCCCAATAATGTTTTCCATTGAGTTCATTTCCTCAAGTACTGCACATTAATTAAACAGTTATATGTATTTGGATTGTACCTGTACTTCAGTTTTTTTCAATAATGTGACTTTGCTTGTCTTCAGGACATGTCAGAGACACTGTAACAAAATAAGACTTTATAAAAAAAACACAAACACCATGTCTCATAGCTCAAAGCCAATCATGTGACTTCATCCTAACTCTGATTTTAACACCTTTACAGACCTTCAGCAGGACTGCCCTCTGCTCCATTACTGCAAGAGACCCAGCTACTGTGCCAGCTCATACCGGTTGGTCAGGTCAAAGGTCAACAAAATGCGGCCCATTGATGCTAGGGGTAAAGCCAGGAGACTCCAGCGCATCTCCCTGCGGCGTCGGAAGTGACCCTAAAGTATAGACTGTCTCACATCATGAGATATCATCACATGACAGTCTGAATTTGTTTTCTTCATATTTGCATATTAAAGTCTAGTATTTCAGCCAATATTTAGTTTAGATTAAATCCTCCGTCACCGTTGCTGTCTCATTGGTAATGTCTCTCGTTAACCCCGCCAATGCATGAATTTGATCAGCTCTTTTACGTCTCCTTTTAGTCTAAGTATGAGTCTATTATATTCTGTTTTGCAGAACATGTTTTGTAACTTTTGCTGAATGTCATTTATGTTGTGATTTATTCAAGTTCCTGAGGTAATTGATACACTGATGTTCTATAGTTTGAGGGTTATACCCTATATTTAAAAGCTTCCCCTTTTCTTTCTGCCTGTTCTCCTTTACAGTCCAGCTGGTATATCGATGTATTTGATGTATTCTTACTAATGTTTTTTGCTCAATGCTAGAGTGGGTTTTTGTCTATGTGTTAAGTTTAGAGCTGAAAATACTGAACTTTTCAAACACTCTACAACATCTGAACGAATGTTTTGTACATCAGTATGTGCAGAGTTGCCAGGTTTGTGGTTAGGCTATTTAGTTATTTTGTTATTTTCAGGAGGAGTAAAAGGCTGATATGTAGGAACCCGACCGACTGCCATAGTCTTCTAACTGCTGCATGGCATCAGTATTTAAATAATGTTGATAAATGAGCAGTGAGTAGAAGCAGTTGAATTGAAGAAGCACTTCTTCATCCATCTGTCTTTTAACCAGTAGACAAGGAGTGGAGTTATTTTCTTGAAAGCCATTATTTTATTGACATTACAGGATTTTAAAAAAACATGTCCCACTGATTAGCGTACTTTCAGAATGTCATTTATCATTTTAGGCTGCTCACTGATGTGGTGGTTAGCTGTGGCCAAGTGTCTTGGTTGGTAACTGCCGACCGGCTGGGGCTCCTCTGTGTGGAGCTTGTATTTTCTCACCGTGCCTGTCTGTCATGTCTACTCAATAAGAGCTGAGGAAAGGAGATTATGAATAAGTGAGGTTTGAGGATTGTTTAAAGCAGGAAGTCCATGCAAAGACAAAGTTAGAAGAACACTTTTGTCTGAAATGTTCAGTATGCTAGAACATTGACGTATCTCATAAGAACTCAGATGCCTTAAACTCAGAAGATAAAAACAGACTCAGACCAGAAATACACTAGAGTACATACAGTATAAGGGTATTTTGTATTTGTATTTGTATATTGTAGTTTTTCTCTGACATTGCTACCAGTTTTAATATGTTTTCCCATTATTCTATAATCACCACAAGAGGAAGGCATATTGCTCAGATCACAGCTTAAGATCTGACAAACCAGAATCTTGTTGAGGGTCAAAGCCATATATCTCTGAAAGAGCAGAGGTCCTTCTTTAATCCTTAGAGCCCTAGTCAATAAATTACATAATAAATATTACGGACACGATTATTTTTATATGTCTAAGACTGTTGAATGTGGTACCAAGTAAAGATAGTGACACTGAGCAGAATGGACTGCTTTTATATTCAAAACTAAGAACAGCACTTTTAAAACACTGTAAATACATTCATGCTGAAAGAAGAAGCACAATTCTACATTTCAAGGCCCAGTCATATCTACTGCAAAGTCTACGCATGAAGCATTTGTCAATTCATTGTGAGGTGTGTTTGGCCGGTGAATTAAAGTACTTATCATTTTGATCTTTTTAAAAAGTTTCCTTCTTTATCCTGATGGTAGTGAGGGAAGTAGAAAAAGACAGAAAGAGACAATGTGAAAATGTTTGTGTTTGGATGAACTTAAAACATTTATTGTCAACAACATTAAAAGTTAAATAAAGGCTTTAATCCTTCTTATCCTTCTCCTCATCCTCCAAGTGCACCATCTGCATCTCTGCCTTTAATAGTCTGACTCCTAAAAAAAAGAAAAACACAGATTGTCAACTGTAAACCAAGAAGCCGGTTCACTGTGTGCTGAGAGGCTTTACATTTTAGAGTTAAAGGCTTTAAGATATAGCTGACGACTACACAAAGACAATATGAGTTTTATGGACAACACAGAAAGTAAAAAACTTAGATCTGGGGATGTGGCATTATCACAAAAAAATCAGAGACAGGTCAGAAACAGAAGCAAAAACAAATTCATACTGGCTGGAATCACATACAGGTGAAAAACACATTAACAGTTTACAGTCCATTTATTTCCAAAGCTCCTGTCCATCATTGTTTTTAAAGCCTCTGATTGTTCTCACTCTAATTTCTACAGGTGCCTGTCTGTTCTGACATGTAAAAAGGCATTATTAGCTAAATGTGGGCTGCAATCCCTTTCAGTTTGACCTCTCAATAAAGGGGTGAAGGTGATTCAAACTGGTCAAAAAGACTGAGATTCCTGACCCATTCGCTTTGATGAAGTGAAGTTGCTTTCCAGATTCTAACAATAACCTTTACAGGAAAACGTCCTAACTGACAGCCCAGAGCGGTTTAGGACAACATCATGACATCACATGTGACAGCTGTGCAGAACTAGATCAGTAACACAGGAAGGTCTAACTGCGGGCCTAGTGTGAGTGCGGCCTATGAGACTGTGTGAAGTACAGAAATTGACAACATCAGCTGCCTTTGAGTACCAGACTCTCTCGTTAAACACTCACAAACTGGGAAAACACCATAGGTCAAAGATCATTTGATAATGGACAGGCAGAGAAAGATCAGAGATGGCATCCACATCCTATTTGATACCACTCATCTGTTATAAAGCAGCACAAGCGAAAAAGGTCAAAGGTCACATAAATACAACTGAACTATTTTCATTAGCTATTGACCATCAGATGTGCACAAAAATCCGCCATATAAAAGTAATTCATGTCTATTTAAAATGACATATTTAGTTAACCTTGGTGAGGAGTAGCAATTCTAACGAAACATTTTAACCCAAACCTGAACCTAAACCTAGGAGGGGGGTGTATAAAAAATAACAGTAGACATTTTTTTGTTTATGTTCTTGTGTGTGTAAAACGGTATTGGTAAAATATCTGCCTGAAATGTGACACTCATATGTTTTAATGTGACACCAATATGTCTAAATGTGACGCTGAAAACACTCAGCTACACAATGCACACATGTTCCTGTTGAACTCATTAAAAAAAATCACAATTTATATGACCAAAAATGACCTTTCCATTCTTAAATGTTCACTTGGTTGATTGTCACTTCCTACCAACATAACCACCAAAGATCCAGGTCAATAAGAAAATCACGGTTTAGCCTGTGAGTGTTTAACCTGGTAAATGTGGAGGAGAGTTTAAGACAGGTGTGTCTTTCCTGCGAGGTTTCTTCCGCAGGTCTTCCTGATTCTCTGCACAGAGGACCTCCTCTTCCTCCTTCTGGTCGTCCCTCATCTCTAACTTCCTGTCCACCAGGCTCTCCAGAAGCCCGTCTGTCGCACAGCCAGAGAAACTGTTACATACTACATCATACCTGCTCTTTTAAATAGACTGACTACAAAAAACAGATAGCTTAGATAACGGCTGTTCTTTGATTTAATCACTTACACCTGTTAAATAAAACATGATGCAAATAGTTAAATATATTAGTTATTAGGATTGTCTTCATGTTTACAGAGCTAATACTGTCCCAATTTTCAAATATGTAGTGTAAGTTCATCCACATTATCAAATTAAAGGAAAACAGACGGGATAAAAACAGTTTTTCCTTCTTTTATCCACAAGTTGTGAAGCAGTGATTCTGGAGCTGCTTACTAGAACTTACAATTAAACTTGTACAATGTTGTTTTCCAGAACAATTGATTATCAATTCAGTAAAACTTCCAATATGAGACAAATCATTTTGGTCATTCTGTCTGTTCAGTGTTTCTTCTTTTGTTCATCAAAAACATTTTAATTTGGATTGTAAAGTAAAATGCATTATCTTCAGGCAGAGCTGCATTTTGTTTACATTATTTCATTTTTTATTCTAAAAAGAAGGAATTAACTGGTGTAAAGTTAGAAAAAACAGCAGATGTGCATCACTTTCCTTTATTTTTGAACAGCACAATAAATCAGAGCCTTTCCTTTTTATAAATGAGTTTTGCAGATCCAGCCCGTAGACCAAATAAAAGAGAATCATCTAACGTGATCAGATAATTCAGTTAATTCCTTGTTTTTAGTGAAAAAGGATAAAAGAGCTTAAATATTTGTTGTTTCTTCTCTATTTTGTCTTTAAGTAAATCTTTTATATATAATTATAATGAAAAATTAGGCTGTTTGTATTAATAGTCTGAATTACTATTGTTGTGATTATTAATAGATTACATCGTTCTTCTTTATGTGAATATGAAAAGAGCTTTGTACTTACAGGGTCTGCTCTCCTGTGTCATCAGTCGATGTTCAGGCTCCAGGGTCGACCTCACACAGCCAGTCGTCATCTGTCAGGCCCTCTGGGCTTTCTACACAGATCACATAACACACACGGACACACACACAGACACACACACGGACACACACACACACACACACACACACACACACACACACACACACACACACACACACACACACACGCACACATTCACAAATCCATTATTCATAAGTGGACACTAACAAAGGATAAAGCACTTCAGGGCTCTATGTGTGTGTTTGACTGCCTGACTCACACATCTACTTACTTTAAACCAAACACAAGCTTTGATTAAATCAGCACCTTCAAACAGCACTTCTTTCTCTCTACAACATTACCCATCACATTGAAACTAATGTGCCTAAACCGTTCACACTGTGTTTCATATTGTCCAAATATAATTGAATACATGACTTTAAATGCTTTGTCTCGTCAGTGAGGGAAGATTTCTGACATTGTTCTAATGTTACTTTCTAAAAACACAGAGATGAGAGCGTCACGCTACATAAAGAAAACAGGATAGGAAGAGAGAGGAAGACAAATGAAGCGAAAGGGTAAGGATTTTCGCTGCAAATAAATAAGATTGGATAATTTAATAGAGAGAGAGAGAGAGAGAGAGAGTATAGAAAGCCTCAGATAAAAGAGAAATAAAAAATACAAATAAAAAACAAGCAGTTAAGAAAGATTCAAAGAGTGCTCTTACCTTAGAGTGAGCAGTGTCAGATAGACAGATTGGAGCAGTGTGTCTCTGGGTTATGAAGCACGGAGGCGGAGCATCCTCTCTTCTCTGCACGCCTACAATTACTATTACATCTTGACTATACTGAATGCTGTGTTTGGTTTCTTATTCTGTCACACGTTATGACATTTGATCAGGACACACAAAAAGTGTATCACGACATGATGATGAGGGTGAAAGCTGGGTTCTTTAGAAAAGTGAGGGAAGAGTATCATCCCTGCTGGTATCCTCTGCGTTTGCTTAACTCAATTTGTAACCAGAGAGGATCTAAGATGTGTCTGTATGGACATGTGTGAATGGTAAATGGTGTCATGACTCGGTCTTGTTTGTATATTTATTTTCAGAGCTTAGATTTCCTTGTTTTATTTTGTCTCATTCTTTGCTGGTGTTGCTTGTTTCCCTTGTGTGTTTCTTCTTTATTTTAATGTTTCCTAGTTTAGTCTTTAGTGTTTCCTGTTGTATTTTATCATCTGTTTCTCTATGTCTCAGGGTGTATTGTTACTGTTACATTCTTCAGTTCTTTGTGTGTCTTTAGTGTTTCCTGTTTTATTTTGTAGTTCTTGTCCCAAGTGTTTCCTGTCTTCTTTTACTTCCTCCCTTTGTCTGGTTTCCCTCCATTTTGATTGTGTGACTGTCTTCACCTGTGTCAATGTCTCACCTGCGTCTGATAACCCCTGTCAGTGTTTGGGTGTGTTCGAATTGTCCCTCCTATCTCCTTTCACTATCCACTTTACCTTAACCCCGGAAGCATTTCAGTGGCGGCCACGATAAGAGCCGTTCGAATTCTCTAAAAGTTAAGGAAAGGTGGGTCAATGCTTCCTTTATAACCTCCTTTAGCATAGGATACACTGGACCATCCTTTACGAAAGGAGATGAGATATGCCGCCCCACAATTCCTTGCGGCCGCAACATTTAAAGCGAGTCTTGCATCCGACCGTTCACGAACATTAACGATGATCGTAAAGTGACACAGATCATGTAAGAGATAAAAGATAAGAGACATTTTTATCAGATGATGTTTTATTCAACATATTTCATTCACTTAAGAATGCTTTGTGCAGTTGTACATTTGTATGCTTAAAACATTATGTGTAGGTTATATCTTGCAGAAATTTAACAATTCATTTCATACAATCATATTTATTTTGATGTTGATTTCTGAGTGGACAGTAATGTGATGGTTTCACTTTTGTTACTCGTAGCCTGGTAGTCTATATTGCTTTTATTTCAATCCCAACCTTGTGTTAATTAGGATTATTTCACCGGTAAGAAGGCACAGGGAGATGCGTTTTTTGTAGTCCATTTTCTGAACATTGTAGTTTCAACACAGCAGACCCACGTCATCAACCTCCGCCGGCCCGTCGCATTTAATGACATCGCCTAGTGGAAAATGCCGTCGGATTGTCAGAGCAATGAGATCACCTTTCCCTAAGTCCTTTATGAATTCTCCTAACATCTTTCCTTGACCTCATGACGTTTTCGCGGGGTAAAGGTCAAGTGGATAGTGAAAGGAGATAGGAGGGACAATTCGAACGCACCCTTCCTTCCCTCTTGTCGTCTACATACTCGTGGTCCTGAATCATCTACTTTTCTCTTTCTGGCTCCCTTAGGTTTGTTTTTTTCCTTTTTATTTTATTTTTTGGATATTGGTTTACTTGTCAAAGTAAGCTTTTGGACTTTGGTTAAATACCTAAATGATTTTGTTGTTCTGCAATCGGGTCCCCCTCTTTGTTTTTTTCAATGAACATGCCAAATGGACTTGAGCTTGTTTAGCGCTTTCCTAGTCTTCTGACTACTCAGAGCTCTTTTACACTGCAGGTCACATCTACCCATTCACACACTGATGTCAGAGGCTGCTATGTAAAGTGTTCATCAGTATTAACTAATCTTAAATACATATCCATACGCTGCCGTTAACTCAGGGTTAAGTGTCTTGCCCAAGGACACATCAGACATGTGGCTGCAGGAGCTGGAGATCGAACCCAGAACCGTCAGGTTGAGAGACGACCGACTCCACCACTGAACCACAGCCGCCACACCCAGTGTCTCACCACCCTTATTGTCTTGTTTTTTACATGTCAAAAGTAAAAAAAAATTATATTTAAGCAACATGAGCTGTATTTTAAAACATTTAAAGAGACCAAAGTAGTGAAGCTTTGTGGAAGTGAATAGAACACTGACTGTTTGTAGTTATCCTCTTGTTATAGTAGATGTGTTATATAAGCACTATTTTCAACAAATAAAACACTTGTGATGCTCCAGTCACACGGGCCTTTTGATGTCTTCATCATGTTCCAAACCTCCTCTGCAGCACAATGGACTCGATGTGTTTTACAATACACACAAAGACACATTGAGCACACATCAGCGAAAACACTGAAGTGTTCTAACGTTTATTGAAGCAGTGTTATTCATATGAATCATTGTGCATCCACTGAGAAGAGGCCATACTGTGTCAAAAGAAATCCTAACAAAATAACTCGTATTTACATTTATATTAACATAGAAATATTTATACATTTGAAACACCCTCTTCTAAGCGGTTCATATTGCTTTTGTATTATATGATTATACACTTTTCTTTAATAATAAAGTCAATTAGAAGTTTGCATCTCATGCAGTTTGTAGTGGTTGTAGTCTCAGCATCACTAGAAGCCAGTCCATAAAGTCAAATGTGAAATAGTTAACACAAGCAACAATAGAAACTGTGTAAAAGCTAAAACTGTTCATCTGTAAAGACAAAGCATGTCCCTAAAAGAATGGAAGATTTCAGGAAACTTTGGGTTTTTATCAGTCAGTCGCAGTCCTGTGCATTTTCCTTGACACCTGAAAGACAGGACAACATCATTTGTATTATCAAACATTCAATCTTTATACATTGCATCAATTCATCTCAAGAAACTTTACAAAACGAGTAGGTCTGGACCGTACTCTTTGATATATTATTAACAAAGACACAACATTAATCCATGATGAGAACAGCAATTAGCAATATTACGCAAAGCTACAGTGGCAAAGAGACAATGACTTTTAAGAGGCAGAAACCTTGAGCAGAACCAGACTCGTGCTGAACAGACATCTACCTAAACTGTGTTGGGCTTAGAAAGTGGGATAGAGGGAGATTCAGGAAGAGACGGAGCGAGACAAACACAGCAACAACACCTCCAATAAACAACAATAGATACAAGTGATATTTAGATACAATGGGAGTAATAATGGTAAAGGTATGTGTGAACATATAGCAACTTTAATGGCCATGACATGGGGAGTACTTATCATGTTAATTATATCAGTTGAAGTTCTCATTCATAGTAATGGTAATTGACATAAAGGCTTTGTAATAATAATGTAAGGCTGTTATTTATTAGACTTAGTGAAAGAAAAACAGTCAATGTAAGTGGTCTAAATATTGTTTTTGTTAGTGTTTGTTATTCTAGGCAGGATATGTGATGAAAGAAAAAGCTGAGTGGTTTCCGGGATTGCTTTTTCCTAATACAAATCATTCAGAAGAGATCAGAAACTACTGTGTAAGCTTATCAAATGTGCTTATTTTGCAAACAAAAGGAATGGGTTTCAGAGTCTGATTGCTTTTAAGAATTATTTTCTGTAGAGAGTGTCACATTCAGAGGTACCATCTCTCATATCAATTGTATCAATCGATATAAAAGCTACTTCCAACCCTGCCTTTTGGTGAATTGTATATGACTCAGTGAACGATGATGATTGATGCAATAAAAATAACAAGCCCCAAAGGTAGCATGCTAAGAACACTTGTTGCAAACTCACCTTTTATTCCAGTGAGTCAGTATTCACAGAGTGACGCAAAGACTCCTTCAGCTGGAAAGCAGGACACACGACAGTCAGTATTTAGAAAGTTTGGTTCATGAACATTATATATTCATATGTGTTGTGTTCATTGTGTAGTATATTGTTTGATTGTATTAACCATATGATTCAATGGTATGTAGAGTCATACAAACTAAGGGGTATAATTTACAATGCTTATTCTCTGTTTACTATAGACATCACTTTCCTCACAGAGTAGATGAGACAGCCTCATCACTGCTTGGATTATGTTCGTTAAATAGTTGAAATTCTAGTTCCCCTCTAATTCCTTTGTCCTTTCTTGTTTCCTTTCAGAGAGAAATGTGATGATCTGACCTTCTGTAGGAAGCTCAATATGTCCACCTTGTCCGCCTTAGTGGGAGAACAGCTCATGCCCTCCCTGATGCTTTCAGATCCAGGAGGTGACTGCCTGTGAGAATCCACACTCCAGGAGGAGACATCCATTGAAGGCATCCAGGGCATTAGACAGCACTGAGTGGCTACTGTCCTGTTGGAGGCAGGGCACGGTGATGGGGACACCTTTCCAGGTACAGAGACTCTGAGTTGAGTGCAGAGCAGAGACTGCTCATCCAACAGTCTGTGCATCTTCTGTTCAAAAACACAGAAACATAATTACATAAAAAACATGATTAAAAAACAAATCTACTTGTACAGGACAGATGCTCTGATTATAGAACAGATACCATCTCATCCTGTCAAAGAAGGAACTACTCATAATGAATTACATTTTCCATGGTCCAATGTGTGTGAGTAGCATGGAAAATAAATAAAAAAGACATTTCAAATCAGTCATAAAGTGAATATGTCATTCACATGATCAGACCTGAAGGCGGTGAGGCTGATAGGTTGACCATCAGATCAAATGGTGGCTTATTGTTTAGTTTAACGTCAGATGTTACATGTCAGTGGCTTGATGGCTTGTGGTTTTCACTCCGCATGCATTTTCTATCGGGGCGTTTATCAATGCAAATTCAAAAACTGTCAAGCAATAAAACTGCATTTCATGATCAAACTCATATTAGCATAAATGGACTTGGCTCTAGGCATAAATATCATGATTCATTTTTGTATTTTCTTCTTAACGCTTTATGCCAGTGATTATTAACTGGTGGCCTGTGGGTCACATCCGGCCCTCCAAAGCTTCCTAACAGGCCATCCTATAAATCATCTCGGGTGATTAAACAATAAACATACAGATAAAATCACAAGGCTTAAATAGTCACATCAGGTTAATGGGAGAAATTACATTTCCACTCTGACACCAACTTCTTCACATCGGGCTTGACAGCTGTCAGACTTATGTGCAAGTGTGTTTTAAAGTCTGGCCCCACAGTGTCTGTGATGAAAAGATAGCTTTTGTAAAATGAAGTTGCTGACCTCTGCTTTATGCAATAACACATTTAATAGAAAACTCAGATAGTTGCTCAAAAAGCCAATTACTGAATTACAAGAATAATGATGCATCATCTGATAATAAGCATAATCAGTTATCCAAAATGTTTTATGTTGATGGACCTTCAGCTTCTATTCACTCATCTTTTATATTAGCTCTATTCCCCCAGCAGACAAGTGTGACTGAGTGTGTTACCATTTTCAAGCTGTCGTCATAGTGATGGGCCAGTTCATTCAGATGCATCTCCAATTCTCCTGCCTCTTTTTTCACTGCTTGCCTCAGCTCCTCTATGTCTCGAACCTTCTCCCTACACACACACACACACACACACACACACACACACACACACACACACACACACACACACACACACACACACACACACACACACACACACACACACACACACACACACACACACACACACACACACACACACACACACACACACACACACACACACACACACACACACACACACACATGAATTCATAAACTATGACTTGAGGATTTTTTTAAACAACACATATTCATAACATATTTTTTTTCATCTTGCATGACTTTATTGTTTCTCCTTCCAACCAAATATCACTCATTTTATTATTTAGGGCTAGTGTTATTATTTAGTGTCTAATAAGAGACAGCTGAGTTGAAAAAAGAGAGCGGGGAGACCATATTTGAAACTAATTTTAAAAACCACCGAGTTTACTTTAGGCGCTTGCGTTGGGACAGTTTTAAACAAAGAGAGTTTTCTATTTTTATTTTGAGGAAAGACATGTGTAGCGTGCTTCTGCATCTTTTTCTGTATCTGTGACGTCTCAGTTTACATGTCGGGGTCACACATCTTCATACACTGAAGCCACATATGAACCAAACAGGACTTCATGAACATGAGGGAGTACCTGTCCTGGTCAGAGAGGTCTCTGTAAACTGCAGCCTGGTCTTCAGACAGCTGCTCCTCCATGCTGCACAGCACATAGCGAAACTGCTGCAGACTCAGCATCATCTCCTCCAACTCATCCAGAGAGTACTATTGAGAACAAGAACATCCAGATAATGGGAAATATAAAACAGAATCATGGAGACATTCCAGGCTAAGATACAACAGATGACAACGTGAAGGATAGTAGAAAGAATAGAGAAAGACCTCCACGAGCTCTGCATGCCAATGAGGCATTTATATGTTAATATGGTGCTGGCTTTGAAAAGGCTGCTATCTCAAGAACTATGGTAACATGACAACAAATATTCTGTTTTTTACAAAGTGCAAATATCGTGTCTCATTGGACATAGAGGGATTGACAAACAGCTCACTGCTGATAGCAACTGTTTCTGAAATGGTTGAATACAAAGACAAGTTTCCATTACTCAAATCATACAGATGGACTTGTTTTCTTAATCACATTATGGTTTTTTGGTGGGTGGGTTAAAATTAAACTTCTATGATGCTAAAAAAAAGGTACAGCTTCTGAACGTTTCTAACAGATTTCAAGATCGGTTTTAGGTAAAGAAATTGTTTGTTTAAGCAATCTAAGGGCACGTTGAGTTCACAGTCATATCCGTTTCAGTAGATTGGCAGAAATATGCACACAACTGGACATTAATTAGCCTAATCGATGCAACCGTTCGTCATAACAATCATTTTAAGCAATGTTGGTAAAGGGTTCCCATTGGTCCAATGTAGAGGTTGAGTGTTTTCTCAATATTTGCAAATTATTATTCATTCAGAGTTACCTGGATAAAACCCATAACAACTCAGAGGTCTTTGGGAAAATCTGCAACTGTATTAGGATGTAATGACGTATGTACAAGAGGTAACCATGCTCAGGCCCAGTAAGTGCTGACCAGCAGGGGACTGGGGAGGGTCATGGTACAGGGCAACCAGGCCTAGTGTGAATGTGCTCTAAGAGGTAGAATTAAGACTTTTCTGATAAAAGAGAGAGAGAGAGCTCCTACTCTTTCAGACTAAAGCCCAGGAGTTGTTTAGAGACTCATCCCAGCAAACTGACTCCAGATCAAACCTCTGTAGAGGCACCAGAGCGGCTAGTCAGACATTGACCTGGGTTTGCCACTGGAGAAGGTAATTTATTATGTACTCAATAGAAAACTATTTTCAGCTTCAAAACAAATGACATCAGCAAGTAGGTGATCTACCAATGATAGGGAGGTGGAGAATTAAAGAGTTAAATTGCTTGAATGTTCAGTAAAAGCTGCTCGCCTAGCCATCAGGCAAAAAACAAACCTAGGCAAGCTGGTCAAAGTTTAGAGCTGGTAGTTGCAAGATGTTTAATGTAAACATCAAATAACTAAAAAAGAATTTCTCTCTCTCTTGAACATGTATGTAGGAATATAAAATCTTGGAAACCTGTTGGGAAGCTGAGAATAAAGATGGAGTAAAAATGCTATAGATTATATTTTTATCCCATGAATTTTTCCGTAGCAGTAGTTGCTTAGAAATCAAATGTTAGCCAGTTTAAATCCTTATTTTAAGATTATGTCTACACAAAATAATATAGTAAATAATTTTGATACCAGTCATCCCTGTGGGGACACTGGTATGGCTGTCTTTAAAAATGTTGGTGGAGTTTTGGTGCATGGAAAAACCATGTAATGTCCACCAAAGAACAAATTAAAGTTTTGACTGAAATAGAATTTTTTTTCAGTTGAAAGTAAACTAAAGTATCTGTGACTGATCCATGACTGTGTATGATTGAACTTAGAAAGTGAAATAACTATATAGTATAGAGAAAGGCGGTGTTACTTACAGGAATGTTCCCCACAGTGTGTTGCTTGTTGTAATCGCAGGTACCCTGATGGTCACAGGAGAAGCAGCATGCCATGGTTGCTGTGTGATTGCCCTCCCAAAGGTTCTTCTCATCCTCATATCCATTCCTCTCCACCTCTTCTTCCTCATCAGACCACAAACCTTTGTCTAAAGAGACCGACACAGTACTGTTTTCTCTAGCCATTCCAGGGAACACTCGTACGACTGCCCTTCATAAGATAGCAGAGGCAGAGACGGTGATGAAGAGAAAATCAGTGTAGGCCTTTGTATAGTTTCTGACACACCTGCTGCGTTCTGGATAGTGTCAGGAGCCCCATGTGATAACACCTTGGAGAGATTGTTTTTTTGAATCTGCCAGTCTGTCCATGACTGAACAGCACGGAAAGGGGTGGAGGTGTCTAAAGGGACAACAGTAGGGAGAAGGGTGCTGCATTTTGAATCAGTCATGAAGGGAACATCCTTCCTGTGGATGATATGAGAAGATGGAGATGAAGACATCTGGACAGAAACAGAGCGGCTCAACGGCTTTGGTTCTGGGTTTGCTGGGGCGGTGTACATTGTTGACGATGACATCAACGAAGACATCACTTTGCCTGTGGATAATAATGAATCTAGAATAGCTGCTCCCCCTAGTCAAAAGAGAATTCCCAGGAGATCCATCTGAGGCTTCAAAGCTGCCTGATTCTTCAAGAAGAGAGCTTTGATTAGAAATCTGAATAGGTTCTGCCCAATAGACTTGCCTTTCATTATCAAGCTGTTGAAAATAGGCATCCAAATCTCCACTTTCACCATCTGAGCCATCCACTGAGGTTTGAAATGCCACGTCTAAGCTCTCAATCTCAAATAAGCTTTTTGGTTGTATTTCATTTCTTGTGTTTGTCTCTGGGACTTCTCCATGGAAACGTAAGGAAGTTCTTGGTGAGTCACTTTCTGTGCCATTAATGTCTATTTGATAGAATTGTCTCAGCTCTTCTGGTTTTGTTTCAGTTGAAAGCTCACCATGCAAACTACCGGACAGGACCTGTGGGTCTCCTTCTTCTTCCTTATCGACTAATCTGGAACCTTCTGACAAACCAGCAGAGCTCTCTGTATGTGAGATGTAAACAACAGTTTCTGGAGTCTGCACAGTGTCAGAGTGTCTGTCATCCCCTCTCTCGTCCCTTTCATTCCTCAGAAGGGTATCCTCTAAATCCAACGAGAGGTAATCCATCTTTGAAGGAATAACATCTTGGGCAGGACAAGCCACAGCAATGTCCCCGTCGTCATCAAAACAATGTTGTCCTTCTTGTTTGGAGATGGTCTGCTCTGTAAATTCGGCCATTCCTCCAAAGTTGGATCTACAAGACTCTCCTTAAAGTGTGGTTTTGATGACAAGGTAGACTCACAAATTGTAACGGATGGGTCAGGAGTAAGGCTTGGCTGCTGGTTGAACTCCTCAAACCTAGAGGAGTCCAGAAAGAGATCGGGTGGATATAAAGGTCTGTCCTGGTCCGACTGAAAGATGTGACAAGAGGGTGCTTCCTCTTCTTTTGTTTGTGTACAACTAGGTGGATCACAGGGTCCTTTTTCCCCGGAGTCTCGGAGAAGAGTGTCATTTTGATTGTTTTCTGGACTCTGTGAGGAGGACGCTTCAGAGGATGCCCAGTGAATCTCAGAGGGAGCAGAGGAAGGTAGAAAAGGGTCAGAGGGAAGCTGGGATGACGAGCCATCAGTAGCAGAGAGAGAGTTTTGATGAAAATACTCCTCAGTCTGTCTGGACTGTGTGTCACCTGGACCCCCAGAGGAGGAATTTATGGAATTAATCACAAAATCTAAATTTGGAGAGTAAGAAGAGACAGGAGGTGTAACACTAGAGCATGCTGTGGGATCAGAGTCATGAGAAAGAATAGAGAGGCTGGGGGATGGACTATCTTTTTCCTCCATTTTAACCTCCTCTGATTCACTAACTATTGAATCAGCCTTCATGGGAGAAGAGCTAGAGGAGACTGGTGTGAAAGAGGCAGGGGGAGGAGTTTTAGATTGGTCATTTGTATCCTGTAACTCTGGTGAGGAAAAACAAGGGGAAAGGTATTCATACTCTGACGCAGCCAACGAAGCAGGTGGACACTGAGTCTGATCTGGTGGTGTCATAGTGTCTGAATTGTCCAGGTCAGATTTAGGGTCACACAACAAGGCAGGAGACTGGGAAGGGCCAGAGATGACTGATTGCTCTGGTGAAAAAGATGTCAGAGATGAAGGTAGCAGGGAGGTTGGGGAGGATTGAGGGGAAGAAGGAGAAGGAGTGCGTGGCCTCTCGCTGCTGCTGTCAGTGCTTCCTCCTGAAAGGCACGACAGAGCCTGCAAACAAAAGGACAATTCAAAGAGTTAAAACAGCCAGACTCAAGAAGATTCACTGTTCAGTTAGTAACTGACCTAGACAATTCTGTTTGTAGTTTAAAGGGGTAAAGTTATTAAACACTGCACATGCGTAAAATTGGGGGTGTAAGATTCAAGATTTTTATTTGTCACATGCTCATACAGATGTGCAGTGAAATGTAAAGATGTAAGAGTAAGAAGTAATGTAAGAGAAGTATGATTAGCTATAAAGAACCTTGATGAGATCAGGTGCTGGAGACTCCTGCAGAGATTGAGAGGGGATGAAAGGCTCCTCCAAGAAACCACTGCTGTCTGACTGGCAGCTGTTGGTACGTACAACACATCGCACTGCTCACACAAGGCAGCGCAGGAGGGGCAAAAAAACAGGAATTACTACAATTAAAATCAAGCAATAGAACAGTATTTGATCTTAACTGAGCTTAGAGTATACAGGTGACATCTTTGTAAGGCCAGAACAGTTATACTTAAGATCTAAGGGGATAAGCTTCAGACAAAGACTGGAAACAGAGAAAGTACTGGCCTCATCTGGGATCACTTCTCAAGAAGGTGTACTGAACCTAAGAACCTAATGTCAACAGTGTTGTATTTTTTGTTTGTTTCTATGTTTTATACTTTGCCTAATACAGAGACCGTTAGTAATGTGTTTTTAAAATAATCATTATGTCACAAAGACTGACGCAATCGAGAGTTCATAATTGGTGAAACTTCCCTTTAACATCTCGCCCTGACAGGAAACTGTGACATGTAATGATGCTGATATGAAAATGACCAAAGCCTCTGGTGACTTTGCATTTCTGCATCATGGTAGATTGTTCCACAATGTTAAAACAGTATTCAAATGATATATGGCTACATAAATTGCAATGGCTCATAAATTGCAGATCTAAAACCAGCTCTCCAAAGTCATACAAAATCGCTTCCATTCAACACTCAGGAATAGTGAGTAATGGAAATGTTTTACTTTAAAGTGATTAAAGAGCAAGAGAGAGAGCGAGAGAGAGAGAGGGAGTGGAAATGTGAAAACTCCATTAAATAATGATATGGTTTATAACCCACCTAAATGTTCTGCTCCTCCAGTGAAGAGCCCTGTAATACTTTCATCAAAACTATGGATCTGAAATTAAATAAAAAATGAGACAACATTGAGAAACTTCTGCAAGGAAGTGGAAGTTAATTTGACTAAAACATGAAAACATTACAACCAACACTACATCATGAATTTATCTTTAGGTCCTGACAGAAATTAATAACTCATGTGCTCTGAAAAACCATCATCTGTAGCAGTTGTAAGAATGTAAAACTTCGACCAATGTCTGCCAAGAGGTACAAATCTGATGAACCAATCATGTCTCCCTGCTCTTTCTCTACCCATGGTGTGCACTAGTCCACACTCAAAGCACTGATGACGGAGTTTATACTGTGAGTTTATCGTTGACCGTTGTGAGTAGTAAAAGAGTCCAGTTTTTGCAAGAGCTGAGGTCCGCTTCTGGGGCAACCAGAGCTCGTGAATGTCAATGAGGGGCGTGGCTTTTGGGGGAGCACCAATGGGAGGGGGTAGGTGTCGGCCGAGCACTGAGGTAATGCTACTTTCCAAATCATCCAAGTTTTGGAAAATTACCAACCCTGCCTTTACATCTGTAGGGTGTTCTCATATAAGTAATTGATCCCCGCATGTTCATGGGCATCATGTCCTACCAGAGGCGTGTCCAGACTATTTTGACTGGGGTAGCGCAACTTGGGCACTGACTTCATCAGGGGGGTGCATGAAGTTTGTGTGAAAACACACAAATGTTTAAATTTTAATATTATACATTTCATATACCCTTATCTCTACGAACCATATCTACTTTTGCCACTCCTCTTGACACACCCCTGTGTCCTACAGACAAACCACTCTGCCTAAATAGTGTTGCCTTTGATGAACTTGAGCAGAAGACGTTAGACTTACCTCTTCCATTTCAAACGATTCCCTGACCTGACCTGGGCTCTTCTTCCTCTGTAAAAAAGGATTTCCTGTCAAGGGGCGACCTTCCTTCAGGGACCTAAAGGCTCCATCTTGAGCTATCAAAGCAGCCACTTGAGGGTGGGACTGAGCATCTGGACCAGTCCCTTGCTCCTCTGCAAGAGGACTCATTGTCTCTAGAAATCCAGTTTTCACTCTTTTTAAGGGGATCCTGTTGTCCCCCAGACTTGATGGAGGATAATGTGACTCAGGTGCTGCAAGAGGAGAGGTAACATGTGAGGTGGTAAGGTCCTGGGTTTTTTTGTTCTTGATATGACTGAGTGTCTTCTTTGATGCTTGTCTAAATATTAGGCCCATGCGCCTCCTTCTCTCCCGGGCCTCAGGAGGCAGGTCTTTTTCCTGTGATGCTCTCAGAGAAGAGGAGGACCCCACCAAAGATGAGAAGGCTGTGGTTACCTGCTGGAGAACCTCGAGCTGTCTAAAGCGATCTAACGGGGACAGAGGAAAATAAAAGACAGGGTTAACAGGTCCATTTGTGCTGTAATGAAACAGCATTCATTTGACCTGACATCTTTTAAACCAATTTGCCTACAATACCAAATGTCATCTACAGAATGTAAAACTGTGTTAGCACTGCCACAGCTAAGCACCACTTCTTTTTCCATCCATTGCTCATTATTCTAATGTAGAGAACTCATTTCTCCGACGTACAGTGATATTTTGTGTTTCATTGCACTGTGAGTCAACAGTTGGGGGTTGGCCCTATCATGTTTCAAATAATCCAAAGGGCAGGTCTAGACCAGACTCTTTGTTATATTATTTACAAAGACCCAGTAGTAATCCATCATCAACACAGCACTAAGCGACATTTAGCAACAGCCTTTTTCGCAATGGCAGCACCATAAATAATAACTAGGTTGCACAAAGACCAGACCTCAAATACTTCCGGCACTTTTGGGATGAACAGACATGCCTAATGTGAGCCAGATCTTATCAACTGAATTCAGTGATGAGCACCTAAGAAATGCTCTTGTAGCTGATTTGTTAGCGAAACCCTCTACCCAGATTCTAGTTGGTATGTTTTGAACAAAAGGAATTGTATGATACGGTGCTTTTAATTAACTAAAAATCCTCAAATTGGGCTGCATGTTGGTGCATTGGTTAGCCTCACAGCTAGGAGGTTCCTGGTTCGAGTCCCTGTCGGATAGGGCCTCTCTGTGTGGAGTTTGCATGTTGTCCCCGTGCATGTGTGGGTTCTCTCCGGGTACTCTGGCTTCCTCCCACAGTCCAAAGACATGCTCGTTAGGTTAACTTGTGACTCTATTACTGGCTGTAGGTGTGAATGAGAGTGTGGCTGGTTGTCTGTCTCTATATGTCAGCCCTGTGATTGACTGGCAAACAGTCCAGGGTTTACCCCGCCTCTCGCCCAATGACATCTGGGATCGGCTGCAGCCCCCCGCGACCCCGAACGGAAAAGGCAGTATAGAAAATGGATGGATGGATATTCCTCAAATGTAAATATTTATCTGATTTACTTGTAGGTTAGACTTACTGCTGACATCTGGATTTTCCAAGTCCAGTCGATTCTTCTGGGCCTCCAGAAACACCTGGAGGTTTATTCCTCTTGCCTGAGACTGATAATTAATGAATCGAGCTGGGATGCGTCCGGAGAGGTCAGGTTCATCACAGCCAAAGCCCAGGTCCAAGAGAACCTCCTCTGGGTCGTCATTCCACAGGTTGAGTATGTCCATCACACTGCGAACAAGAGAATCAATGGAGAATTGTACACAACTAAGAGGGAAGTGTGTCATTATTGTACACAAACCAACTACTGGGTTAAATCACGCTATCGCCATCTGAGGTATTTGTGCTTTTGTGACTGTAAGAGAGAGTCAGTGAGTGAGAGGAACGGGTAAAGAGACAGAGAGAGAGAGAAAGAGAGAGAGAAGGTGGGGTCTAACCTCAGTGGTCCGGAGTAATCTGAAAGTGTTGAGTTAAAACTGTTCCACCTGCTGATAGCGGGACTCGACCTGGTCCACCTATACAGGTTTGATAGACAACAAGATGTTCAGGACTTAAATCACACACGTTTAGATAGTTAAACAAAGTAGGAGTAATTACATCTCATCTTAAAATAGAACGTTCTTCAATCAGAAAACTTTGCTTCCTATCGACCTCCATCTGACACTCCTTCCTGTTAAGGTAAATGTCCTCGAGAAAGCCGTGGCCAATCAGTTATGTGACTTTCTTCATGACACTTTATTTACGTCCATCAAAGTAAAGAGACAACACTGGTAAAATATGGTAATGATCTCATTACTCCAGCAGAGAACTTGATTCCTATTTATTCAACTTAGTTTGCACACATTTATGATTAGTACTCAATGTTTGCCCAAGTTAGTCACAGAGATATACAAAGTTTGGTGCTTGGTCTGATTCCATTCATCATAAAGATGCCCACTGTTGCAATATCACCAGGAGGCATTCTATGAATTTTCATTTTTATATTGATGATAACGAACTTTAAAGGCTTCATATGCAATTTTTTGATCCAGCAGATGTCGCTCTTCAGCACCAGCATGAAACCAAAACAACTGGCGCTGCATTGTTGTGTTAGCATGCTAATGCTAGCGATCTTTATTATGCTCGTATCTTCACACTGCATATAAATTTACCCAAAATGAGCGTGATCTAGAAACACAGTTAAGCAGTGAGTACAGTATGTTATTCTTCTTTTCTCTAGTCCCTCAATTAAACAACTTTTATACACGAGGGGAGGAGTCAGCCGCCGTCCCGACGATGTAAACAAACTGAAAATAGGACTCTGAAAACATCACAGACAGTGGGACTCGGTATACCCATTGTATACAGTCATTACTCACAGAGTTATTTTCAGAGGATATACTTGATTTCTATTATATTTAAGGGTATAAGGCATTTAAAGCCTTTAAACTTACAAGTAAAGCTAGATAAAACCAATCATTATCTAAACTAGAAGCATAGCTTAAGGAATAGAGTCCAGGATTACTATTTTCTGCGTCATTTAGCTTGGTGCTAACATCTAAGAGAGGGTACGTTTAAATAGTCCTTTTTACTTAGGAAGGTTCAGAACCAGGTGAAATGAGCCCAAAGTGTTCAAGGGTCAGCCACCATAAGAGATGTTGGAATTCACTAAAATAAGTGGTTCCCAAAGTGGGGGTCACGAGGCCACCAAGAGGGGGGGTCACAAGATGCCTTCCAAAAACACACACAAAATAAAAAAAATAATAAAAAAATATATATATTACCTATTATTATAATATATACACACAAAGGTATTTCAGTTTTGAATAAAATTATATCATTAAATGACATGAAAATGAAATTATTGTGTAAAAAATACTCTAAATGTAAGTTTGCACATGACAACATCATGGAAATGACTTGTATTCAGCTTCTTGCCTTTTTTACAACAAATAACTAAAGTTACTTAAATTTAGATGACCATGTTTGGACAAATCGGGTTGTGCTTTAAGGTTTAAGTTTAAGTCTATAGTCAGAGAAACTTTCACTCCCTAATTGGTGTATCTCTCTTCACGCAAAGCAACAAATATGCTATGCAATATATTTTTTTAAACTTTAAGACTTGATTTTAAAGTATATTAATATAAATCCTAAGACTAACTGTATATAACAGCTGTTGTTTACTCACATTTTGCCTCCTGTCTTAGTAGATGTGGACCATGTCTAGCCTGCTCTCCTCGGTCCTTTATACATATACCCCCTGTTCTTAGCTGGTTCATATTTTCTGCTCAGCTGTCAAACATTGTAATAACTACCCTTTGATCCTTTCGCTTTCTATGCAAACTGAGCCACATGCTCTGCAGATGGAGGAGGAGAGGCTTATTTGCCAGGTAAATGTGTCCTGTAGTTCCACGTCTAACGATCAGTTAAGGTATAGAAGCTGTTATCGCAGCCCTCGACTGTCAGTCACAGAGACACGGCAGGAGACGACATTTTAAAAATCCAACAGAACCTTTGAACCTCTAAGTTCAGACACTGAACATGAGTACAATGTTCTTAAAACTATTTCTGTAAAGTTCTTAACCTAAGCACATTACAGGATGAGATATTTTAATATTTCTTTATCATTCTGCCTTTTTGCATACAGTGGTCAGGTCTTCATGCTTTCATAACTAGAGGAGAGAGAGCGCCTTAATGACAGCTCATGTCTGCTTCTAGTGAAAGTTATGTAAGGTGCTTTACGTACGCTCTCTCTCAAACACACACACACACACGCGCACACACACACACAAACACAAACACAGGGCACAAGTCATAATATTGCATGATTAAGAAACAGTTCACAAACATTACATTAAGGGAAGCTAACAATGAAAATATGCAAATTGGTTCACAGAGTTGTGATCACAGGCTACAATTCTAAAACACAGGCCTTGTCCAATTGTCTCGTTTTTTTCTGTCTTTTAAGATCGAGCGAAAGGCTTCAAGTGCATACAGTAGATATTACACAGAGATCAGGGATAATGTCGTTTATTTAATCTTCAGTTTGTTTAATTTAGGTAGGCTCTAGGTTGGTTATGGTTCAAATAGTTTCCCAGGCCTCTCAAACATTGCAGGATTTTTTTGTCAGAATAAAAATGTTAAAAATCAAGTTAAATATCACATTCTAAAACTGGCGTCAAAAAGTACCTGATTTTTTTCCTGTCAGAAATAACAGTCCCTCAACTGTAGTGAACTACTGTGATAGAGGTCAACCGTCACTCTACACTTTTGGCTGTGTGGCTCTGTACCTCTGACAAGGAGATAAAAGCGAGGATGCATCCTTACCGAAGAAATTCCTGCACCGTCCTCACCCCCTGGTTACCATATAAAGACGCTGTAAGGGAGAAAAGTCTTGTTATCTGGACTAGAAAGCAATCTTTGCATGTTGAGCAGAGTGGGGAACATCAGGACAGGAGGAATGCAGAACAGAAGAAAAAAAAAAGTCCAAAGTCAGTACATCCTGTACAGGTCTGGTGTCAGGGCTCCTCAAGCTATATTAGGAAAGTGTTTCTCTCCCTCACCCTCCCTCACCCTTACTCACTCTCTTCTCTTTCCCTTCATAGGGTGTTTGGGTTTTGGCAGTCCCCTCTACCTTCCTCTCCCAGACTGGGACTATTTTGACACTGGGATGGCTTAAGGAGTCTTTCTCAGTCTGCACTGCCGTAGTGTTTTTTTTTGGGTTTTTTTTAATTCAAACCTTTTAAAATCTTCTTACATCCAGTTATATTCTATTCTAATTTGTTTGCTTTTCCTTTAAAGTCAGAAAGAAACGAACAACACACTTATCACGTGCTTGTCCTTAGAGCTCTGAACTTTTGATGTCAAGTCATGCCGAGCAAACACAGACACAAAGGTACGGAGACACGGGAGGATACAAAGGGAGAAACCTTTTTAAAATGGTTTAGATAATGCTGGATTTTGATGGAGGAGGTTTATACTGAGAGTCCTACTTCATTAGTCAACAGGTGACCTTTCTGTATCATGGATGTTTTTGGTTACATGTCTTACTTTAAGATCCCTTCCAGAAATATTTTAAGACAGAAAAATCTCTACCTTGAAATAATAATGTGGGCATGTAATTTGTAAAAATTTTATTTTTGGCTTATTCAATAAAAAATCCAGAAGAATATGCCAGTATTGTTATTTTAAATGTTTACACAGCTTGAAACAAAATGTCTTTTAGTGAACTGGATCTACATCCCCTATATGACCTCCTGGTTCAAAAGTCACAAGTCAAAACACTCAACCTCCTGACGAAAGTAAAACAGCTTTCTAATGTTTAAAATCTTTATTGATCACATTTTGGAATTTGTTCTCCCACAATATGCAAATATTGGTTTCAGCCTATATCTTAATATTTTAAGCATATTATTTCATTAGTCTCAGACCTCCATATCATATTATTCTGTGAAGTCTTGTGGTCTAATATTTGAAACTCTCCTGCCCTGTGCATGCTGAGGCCATGTGATGTGCTCCACCACATCGTTTGGCTTCCTCCTCTGCATAAATACACAAGAGATTCTGGACACGCTCTTTCTCTCTGCTTGTACTGTGAGACACAAACTGATCGATAAATCACGGCCTTGTGCTCCCGAATTGTAGAGTCTGTTTTTCAGAGTGTGCCTGTAAAGATTTCCAGCTCAGAATGGCACCGTAAATGTCCAGGCTCAGAGAGGCTGTTTACCTTCTACACCCAGGGCCAGGTCATCGTCACAGCTGGTGTTCCTCCTCACGAGCTCTGCAAGGGACACAGGACACATCCATACAAGAACCATTAAGGACCACGATTGACAGAAACAAGTCGTGTTTCAGACGGGCTCAAATCTGAGGGTGTTATGATGGTTGATGGATTAATAGAACTTTAGAGTAAACTGGAAAGTACACAGCTTTTAGTCCATCAGCACTGAGGGACATGGAGTCTGACAGTGACCTTTCATTCTGATATTCAGAACCTTTTCTTGTACTGTAGTATGTTCTGCAGCTGCACTCACAAAGTATTCTTAGCATGCAGTTTGTATATAATTGGGAAGGTTGATCCTCTTGCCCTTCTGTCGCTGTTTTTAAAGCATCTGCCGGTGGTCTCTCAGTCACTCAGTCCAAAATCCTGTATCCTCCTCTGCACACCTTTTTCTTGCACATTTAAGGTATTATGTCTATCAAGTTCAGACATTGGAATACAGTCTATGAGTTTCTCAAGCTTTCTGTCATACAAGACACATTTTAATCAGATTGGAGATCATTTACAGTGGGAGATCCGAGATGAGGGAAATTAACTAATTAACTAATCCTATGAAGGTACCTGAAAGTTCAGGTGCTGTAGATTAAGTAGACAGTCATGTTGACTTTATTTTCTGGGGGCATTTTGGTTTGGTGGGCAAACTGCAAGTTGCGAAAGATTGCGTTTGTTTAATATTTTTGGTGGCAAAGCACGAGCCCATGAAATTTCGACAAGACTTCAGAGATCAGGATGAGATGTCTTTAGTCTTTACTTGTGGTTTAGACTTAACCCTTCAATTTGATTTGTACATTTGATTTTTTAATGATTAAGTAGCTTTTCCTGTTGCTTCTTATTTCCAAGCTGCTTTATATATTTTTTTTCTTCTTTATTTGCTTGCTTGCTCTCTCTCATCAAAATCACCTTTTCTCGCTGCATTCATAGAACAATCAGCACAGCCCGATATTTTAATGACCGTACTGACAGGAGACATAACCTATCCAAGCCTCCTTTTTATTGGCATACCCAAAGTGAATACATCTCAGGAGAGGTAAAAACAGCGTTTTTTTTTTCTCTTAAAACTGGGGCTGTAAGCTCGGACTGAGTAATTAAGAGGAAATAATGTACAAATGCATTAGCAAGTCATTATTTTTGTTATTTGTTATTTTGTTATAAGTGTTGGATGTTACTTTGTGTTTACCATTTAGGTCAAAGCCAGTCTGTGCCTATAGGTAAAACTTCATTGTACAGCTTCAGTCTTGTGTCCCATGTGTTTCTGTAGTTAATTGTAAAAAAAAACAAGGTGATTGTGCTCTTGATAGATCACTCATTATATTTAGGCACAGGATTTTCTCTACAGCCAAGAAAATGTACACCATTTGATTCAGATGTGACCCTACTTCACATGCACTGAAGAGATGCTCTTCAGACAGAGTTGATAGTAAATATTTATGGCATCAGAGCCAAGCGCCTTGCTTTGGTCTGGTTGACTTTAATCTTAAAACACACAATAATTTATTCTTGGAAAGTCTAAAGCTCTATTTCTGCTACGAGTAAACTCAGCACAGTGGACAAAAAAACAGTCGTAGCCTGAGTGAAATAAACAGCCAGGCAGTGCTGCTCTACTCAAAGGTGAGGGGGAGGAGTGGGAAGAGGCTTAAAGAGCAATTTGCCGTTCCCATGGTTTTCTTAACCAACATTTGCATGCTGTTTGAATGGGCTGACCTCAAGGCGGGGCATATGAAGAGGTGTAGGTTAGATAATACACAACCTCAACAGCAACATGTGTAAATTCATTTAAGTGTGGCCTTTGAATTCACCTCTTTACAATCGGTAATCACTCTTACTAGATATGGGAGAACATTTTAAAAAGTAAACACACGTCACACAAAAGGTTATTGTACCAACAGATATGAAGAAATAACAACGTGAAGAGAAAATGGATCATAACATGTCAAGCAGAGCGTTATGCAACAGTGCTTGTCACCATGCTGCAGCTACTGTATGTCTGCATAGTTTCTCACTCACTAACACACACGCAGCCTAAGCATTCATTCTACACTCCACAGTTTCAGCAGGCCGTCGTCTCGGCTAGTAAGAACTTGACTGGCATTTTGGCCTCATTCTACCACAGCCACTTAGAAGTTAACTCAGCTAAAGAAGTGTTCAGAGCCAAACAGACTTTTTGTACTCACCCCAATCGGAATCACATAAGACAACGTAAGGTGGCTCAGAACAAAAGGAGATATCTCTCTACAGTTCAACAGAAAGAGAAGGATTTCCAATGATCCTACCTGAAGCTTTCCCCGGTGTCTCTTGCTTTGCATCTTCCCTGCAAACACAGGTCACATCTTATTAGAAGGAGGGACAGAGTCCAGACAAGTGCGCACACACACACACACACACACCCAGCCACGTGCACTTACAGATACACACACATACACACAAGCACACACATAAAAGTGAACACACGCACCATTCAAACCTTTATCTATCTAGTCAATAAAGAAATACTATAATAAAAGTAATTCTTAAACCATTTTTTTTAAACTAGATGGTACCTTCTAACTTTAAATACAAAAATGAATGTTTTCTCTCAAAGGCCAAACTGGTTTTGAACAGTTGTTATTCACTTTATTTAAGAGCAAAGGCAATAAAGATCTTCAGTACATTTGATCATATCATCTTATTTAATGATACAATGTGGTCTCTAAACTCAACAGGCTATTTCAAAGCAACAATGTTGAACTTGTCCACCTTCAAATGGTTTTTAAGTCTTTATCTAGACGCTAGTTAGCTCGTCTCTGTACTGTTTGATACAACCACTGAGGCTAGGAGATGGATGAGGATGGTGACGGATGAAGCTAAGAAAAAAAAGAGAGAGCGTGATCGCGCAAGAAGCCTAAGAGTAAATATTGAACATTGTCATTCGACATGGTGGTGTTCTGTTGAGATGTGCTGCCTTGTAAAGAAAATGCAACCATAGCACAAAAGAGGCTATCCGTATCCCCTATCAAATACTGCTCCCAGTATAGAGTCACTTTGAAACACGACTACTTGCTGCATTTGCACTGTAAGGAAACAGGAAACATGTTTTAATACTCTATAATAAAACCTTTATTTGTGATTTTAGAGGAAGCATTTCTCAGTAGATGAAAAGCCTCTGCTTGTCAACAAATGCATGTTGTCCTATGAAGGGGAGGTGTAACAGCACTGTATGTTTGATGACACTAAAGATGCATTCAGAGACCTTAGCTGGGCACCAAAGCGCACCAAAGATAGCAGGGTTGTACTTTTGAACTGTTAGCATCAGACACCAGCAGGAGCTGTGTCCAAATGAACACAACATATTTTGTCATGAAGTTCTTTAAACCAAATGATGACGCTGCTGTGTACACACACACACACACACACACACACACACACACACACACACACACACACACACACACACACACACACACACACACACACACACACACACACACACACACACACACACACACACACACACACACACACACACACACACACACACACACACACACACACACACTCAACACTCTCAACATGCAGTGTTACATTCTGTTATTAGTTCCTGCTCATTTCTCTTCCGTTTTATCTTTGCTGTCTTAAGTGTTAACACTTTGTCATGTTTCACACATACCATTGCTCTTGTCATTTCTCTCACTTGTCCTCTACTGTTCTGCATCACTTAATTAAAAAAAATTATATGTATGATTATGGACCCTGTGTTCCAAGTTTATACACTTAGATTAAAGTGACTGACTGAACATTGTGCAGCAGCCTGTATTCCCATCCTGATACTCACTCAGTGACAGTGGTGGAGAGCCATTTCCTGATACTGTCCTTGTTTGGACTTCCTGCGGATGACATAATTATAATGAGACCACTGATGACAAGCAACCACTGATAACTAATACATGAAGTGAAGCAGAAAGAAGAGAGAGACACTGAACGCTGAACACCAACATCTCCTCTGACTCAACTGTAAACATGAGTTCAAGTTGGACTAAACCCGAATCTTTGCAATCCGGAAAGAAGAAACAGGTTCCTCATGCATCATGGCATTAAGTTACAAAAACTTAAGAGGAATCAAAATCTCTCTATGGCTTTAATCTTTGAGTATTGCTGAGTTTATAATGAACATGACAGCTCAAACTTGTGAAATCGTGTCATTCTTAAATTTCAGTGCGTATCATGGCCTAATAAATAACACATCTTAAGCTTCCATACCTTGAGTCTCTTGAGAGGATTCAGATACGTTCTTATGGCTCCAATGAGCCCTGGATGCCACCAGATTGGCCCTCTTTGCCACAGCTTCTTCAGACGCCATTGAAAAAAAACCCTGCAGTGGTGGGAACCACTGAGATCCACAGAGAAGTCAGCAGATGCAGAAAAACACACCAGAATGAGTCAAAACAAATCCACAAAGCACTTACCAATGTGACTTCATTGGTTTTACATCGTCTGAGGTAGCAAGAGCTCAGCCTGTGTAACGCTGCAGCAGACAGAGATGAAATTCTTCCAGCGCAGTATTTCTTATTCAGCTCTCCTCACTTCTGTAAACAGGTCCGAGAAATGGTAGCGCATGCAAATGACTTTGTTGAACCTCTCAGCCCTACAAGGAAATTCTGCTTCCTGGATGACTGGCATTACTTCCTGCTGCTCTCTTATCAGTTTCTGCATGAATCCTGTTTCTTTTTTTTCCAGGAATTGTCACCCGTGTTCCTGGAAAGAAAGAACTTTTCAATATAATATTCACAACACACATACTGTAAAAAGGTTGTTTATATTCTGTGTTTTAATATCTGACAGTCCATTCAAAGTCATTTGATAGCTCCCAGTACCTCATTAATGTCATGATTTGGTCTTATTTAGTTTTGTATTTCAGTATTTAGGTTTCCATGTTTTAAATTCTCCTGTTTATCCAAGTGTTGCTTGTTTCCCTTGTGTGTTTTTGTCCTAATGTTTCATAGTTTAGTCTTTAGTGTTTCATGTGTTATTTTGTAACTTCGTACCCTAGTGTTTCTTTATGTTCCAGTGTGTATATGTTACTTTCTTGAGTTCTCTGTGTATCTTAGTGTTTCTTGATTTATGTTGTAGTTCTAGTCTCCAGTGTTTATTCCTTCCTCTGTGTGTTTCCCTCCAGTGTGATTGCCCTCATTGTCTTCACCTGTGTCATTAGTCTCACCTGTGTTTGATTACCCCATGTCTATTTAGTCTCTGTGTTTCTTCCATTCTGGGTCAGTTCATTGTTGTTTGTTGGTATATGTCAGTTTTTGTGTGTGCTCCTGTGTGGCTCCATGTTTCTGATCCCTGTGTTTTTTTGTTGAACTTTTGGGAGTGAGTTTTTGTTTGCCTTTGGCCTTTTTATTTTTTAAATATATTTAGTTAATTCTGCATGTGGGTCCAGTTCCTTGTTTTTCCCCTGAATGTGACAATTAAATAATAGTTAATAATTTCAAATATCTGATGTAATAGAGGTTCAGATATGTTTTATTATATTTATCCATTAAGTCAATGTTTTGTCTTTTGTTCTGTTCATGATTTCCATAATCCCATCTGTTCCTGTTGCAGTAACTCCTTTTCTTTTCTGTAGTGTTTGTGCTTTGAGTATATTTACATCAATATGCAAATGTGGTGGTTTGACAATGTAAGACAATGTCACACACATGTTTATTGTCATTATTATTTATGACAGGTCCTCCTAAATAAATAAAGTGCTTCCCTTATAAGAGGTGCAAAGTATTGATGTGATGATCGGCAGGGGCCGGGGGCACCATCAGGAGCAGTGAACACATCTTGGGTCTACAGCGAAAGTGTTTTATGTGGAAACAAAAAAGCATTTCATGACAAACAACATAGTTTACTGTAAAAGCAGAGTTTGAAGGAAGGAAACATGAGCTCACAGTCAAAATAGTAGCTAGTCAAAGTATTTCTCTTTCAGTGGAATAAAGACAAGAAGATATTTGTGTCTTTTTGTGGGGAGGAATTAGAAGAAGAAAATTATTACACAACAGAAAAAATTGTTTCTGTTTGTATTTTAAGTTATGTTTCATTGTTGTCCATCTTGTTTTTGTGTGCGTGCGTGCGTGCGTGCGTGCGTGCGTGCGTGCGTGCGTGCGTGCGTGCGTGCGTGCGTGCGTGCGTGCGTGAGTCTGTGTGTGTGTCATGAGCAGCAGGTTAATGCTTCAGGTTGCTTGAAACAATGGACTGAATGGTAAAAGGTTCTTAAAAGTCGGCGCAGTGGTTAATGCGCACGTCCAATGCATGGAGGCTGTAGTCCTCCAAGCGGGTAGCCAAGGTTTGAATCCGACCTGAGGCTTCCTTCCCGCATGTCACTACCCACTCACTCTCTCTCCCTGGTTTCCAACTCTATCCACTGTCCTATCTCTCCAATAAAGGCACAAAAAGCCCAAAAATAAATATATATATTTTTTTAAAGTAAACTTGCACAAACTCTTCCTCTCCATCATGGCATCTAGAAATAAAGTTTGATGTCGTATCCAGTTAAGTATGCTGTGTGGATTTACTGTTTTTACATCAGTGAATCAGGAGTCTATTTTGGAGCTAGATATCAAACCTACACAGCAGCCCTAAAGAGCAAACTATTTCTTAAAAATGACTTAAAAAATGGCTCCTTTGGGGCCTCTGAAATCTAACCACCTTTTTTCAAAAAGTATATTTTACATGGCAGAACACTTTTGAACAAGGGTGGCCTCACATAGCAAACCAAAGGGTCTACAGACTCTGTGTTTCATTTGCTAAAGGTAAGTGCCAAGATAGGGTTCTTGGTGCAATTTAAGGCCACTAGGTCAATTAACTAAATTAAAATAAACATTTGATTTTTTTTCTTCATTTACTTTCCATTTATATAGCCAGTTCAAAGTATGCTCCAAAATAATGGAGTTTGACTAGTTTACAATGCAAGAGGGTGCAGGGCAGATGGAAGTGCCTTAGAAAGAGAGAGTTTAAGAGAAAGAGATAGAAATACTAAAGGTTTGATGGAAGAATCAATAAAGTCTTACAAACTTTAATACGTTGTGTAGAGACAGCCAAAGCAACATTCTACTTGAACTACTCCTCCTTTCTTGTTTAAAGGATTCGATGATCTCACATTTTTGGGGAGGGGGGGGGTCTGTTTCTGGTTCAAAGAAGGAATGACATTTAAAGATAAGTTATAAAATGTTGGACCTTCAGGACCTCAGTTTGTCCAACTTGACACCAGAGGGCTCTAGTAACCACTTTACTGGTTTCATTCAAGTGCACAAATACAAATCTAAACTGAATTTTCCCACTCATTATTTTATCTGCATGAACATAGGGAATGAGTTCACAGTGTAACATTGCGTTCACATATAATACCTCGGAAGAAAACCTCTGACAGGTACATCTCATCTGTCAAATATGATTTATGAAGTACAAGTCTGGAGCTGCTCATTTAGTAAAGTGTCCAAAGTGAGATAACCTTTGTTATGAATCGAAGCTGATCAAATAATGATTCATCTATTGATTGATCATTCATTCCTTGCTGAAGGTATTTAACAGTCTTCATTTGATTATCTACTTTGTTCCTGTGGATATTTTTGCTTCTTTTTGAACTTGAATCATCTGTTGTCATCCGTCTTCTCTTTCATTGTTTAACCATAGTAAAGGTTAAAAACAAAAATGTGACACATACCACAAAAATCCCAACACCTACGCCTACTCTCTCTGGCCATTTACCACAACTGACTTCCTGGAACCCTGTTTCAAACACCAAAGAGTACTGCAAGTGCAACGGCTTTCATCACAAGGCTGCAGGCAAAATCACCATCAATTTAACTAATCTCACAAGACTGTTACTTTACAGACGTTTATTATTCTAACAATATTTGAGGTCATGTCTTTAGGTTTATCTACTGTTGTGTTTAAACCAAGCTTCTTTACTTTTTAGCAGCACTATTAAAATATTTAAAACAGAAGACAAGTATCACTTTTATGATTGTATATGAACTTTGTGGGGATATTATTGTCCTCTAAAGTCAGTGTAACTGTTGTCCTCTTATCTTGAATTTAAACAGTAAGAAATACTTGTCTTTTTATTTGAAAACCTACATTATATTTCACATTGTGTTTTTTATTATGTATGATGTCTTTTAAAATCCATTCATGATTGATCTGAAAATAAAACACTTTTACTAACTGTGCAGAGCGTGTGTCCAGCTCCTCTGAACAGCTGATCAGCTTCAGGTGATGGAGAGCTCTGAGAGGTGTGACGATGTGGAGCAGGAGGATGACAGACCTGCAGCACAGACATGGTGAGGGAGAGCAAAACTAAACACAGCACGGTCACGATGTAACACATGCCCTTGCTATTACTGGCTGATTCTCATGCAGATCATAATAATAAATTGATTTTCAAATAACTCTTTATCACTTGAGCACTTCATGTTTGTAAAAGCATCAGTGTGTATACAGTGCACATATATCACATAGCAATGAACATGTAAGGCTTTTATTACAGAATAAAGAAGCAATAAATAATCTTACAACTGTCAAAAATGAATAGTGTTAAAATAAATGGAAATCAAGCGCTCATGAGTGTGTTGGATGCGAGTACAAAGACTGTCATAGCGCTCTTCAGTGAAGGTAAGTGGTCTGCATCTCTGGCCTGAGGGGAGGTGAAAGTATTGGCTGTGTAGTACGTGTGTGACATTTGAGGCTATTCGTATTTAAGGTTTAGTCCATCTAAAATAAAGAGATGGGAATAATATGCAACTATTAAAAAAAAAAAAAATAACAGGGTATAGTTGAATGTTTCAGACCACAAACTCAGCCAAAAATAACTTCCTCCCTCAGACGGTGCAAACAGGAAGGAAGAAAATGTATTATTTCTGCAGCTTAGAAGGGCAGTTTGTTATGTGTCTGTTGTTGCAGCTCTGCTGATAATCACTTGACGCTGCACGATCTGTGGGTGAGATCAAATATTTGTGTGGATCCAGTAAGTGTCATTGCAGTGATTTCAGTGAAAATGATGACGACAGCCAACATGTTACTGATTGCCTTCTTTCTATCAGGTGAGCTTTTCACTCACTCACCTCTATTTAAAGATGTTTCACATTTACACGAAACTGACTTGAACATGTTAAGAAGACAGAGAAGAAGACCTAACATGCTTTTTTTAAACTGTGGTGCATTTTTGGGATCTCTCTCATCATGCATGTTGTGCTCTACTTCAAATTTGATCCTTTGTTTGATTTTCAGGGGCTTTGTCTTTGTGTCCTAAATGGTCAAACCTCTTCATGACTACACCGCAGAAGATGGAAGCACTGACTGGATCCTGTTTGCAAATCCCATGTAACTTTTGGGCAAGATATAGGAACGACTTTGACGACAGTGAAACCTTTGGAGTCTGGATCAAAAGCGGCCCTGAATTTGGAATCAATCAAAACAATGTGATTTTCAATAGTAGCAGAATATTTAACACATATCTGATGAGGATTGTAGGGAACCTAAAACAGAAAAATTGCACCACTCTTTTTTCCAAATTACTCCCAAAGTATTCTGACAACTACTTTTTCAGAATTGAAAAATGGCCATTCAGGGAAACAGCTCTTTGTGACCCTCTTCAAATAACAGTTAAAGGTAAATCTTGTTTCGGCTGTAAATGTATTACATTTTGTCTCTTTTGTTGAAGTTTGACATTGATATGAACCTTAAACTGTATGCAGTGTCAGATAAGAAGTGTCTATTTATGTATGCACTTTAAAAGGCCTACAGTGTGCAGTCATTTTGAATTTATTTTGAAAATTGTGTTTGATTTGAACACACAGATTCTCCTCCGAGCCCCAAACTAATCATCTCAGGAGATCTGAAGGAGAAGGAGTCTGTCACTATAACCTGCTCAGCTTCCACTCCCTGTCCACTCTCCCCTCCTAAACTCACCTGGAATCTCAAACAAGACTCTCTCAACAACATGGAGGAAAACCCAGATAAAACCTTCACGACTAAAATCCAGGAGCAGATCACTCTGACGGACAAACATGATGGATACAACATCACCTGTTCTGCCACATATCCTGTGAATGAAGGAAAAGAAGTCAAGACAGCAGAGGAGACACAGACTCTCAGAGTTTCATGTGAGACAACCAGAGATTGTTATTGGATCCTGTCAGAATATGGTGATACATGGGATGTCAGCTGTTTTCATGAAAAATGTTTATCTCACATTTCCCTCAGATGCTTCTCAAAACCCTTTGGTGTCCGACAGTCCATCAGATTTGACGACACAACGTGTGAACCTGACCTGCTCCAGCAGAGCCAATCCTCCTGTCAGCAGCTTCACCTGGTTCAAGTTTGGGGTTGTTGTCTACGTCACAGTGAAGATCCTGGGCATCGTGATGCTCTACAGTACACTTATCATCTTTGAGTGGTGAGACAAACGTTTTAATCATGTGATCATTTGCAGCTTAAACGTCACATATTATACTCTTTTTCAACCTTTTTAATCAGTCTCCAGAGCTTCTCAAAACATTTTTGTGAAGTTTCTTGTTCTAAATCCACTCTGATCCTGTATTTGATCATGTCTATAAACCCCTCTATTTCAGCCCTGCTCAGAACAGGCTGTTTCTGTGTCTGTACCTTTAAATGTAAATGAGCTGTGTCTGACCACGCCCCCTCTCTAGAAGGACTTGGATGGCTCTGGTTTTCTAGCTCCATGCCCTATAGTTTACAGTGAGAAGGCAGACTCAGAGGGCAGAACAAACACCTAGCTGTGGGAGTGTCACCCACCTGGAGGAGGAGGGGTTACTGCCCTTTGTGACGTCATGAAGGGAACATCCCCAAACAGCCTGTTTGCACACATATTTTCTGAAAAGTGGAGCAGGCAAAAGACAGAGAAGATGGACTTTTGTCATAATTTAGGGGTTTGTAGACGGACTAGGAACACATATTAGTGTTAGAGAAACATGGTAAAGTGTATTTTACATCATATGTGACCTTTCATGGAATGATCTTTTTACAAAGTTAATATTTAGCATTTGTTGATATTTATTCCGTCTCCTTTTCTTCCAGTTGGTTGAGATCAAGATGCTGCCACAAACAAGTGAAGGTGAGTTACTAGATGAGGACAGCTTCATCATTCTTTCAACAATAAAAAGGGAATACGCCTGTGTTATGAAAAAGAAAGGTTTCCTCTTTGAAGATTAGTGCTCAAAAGTTATACAAAAGACATCCTTCAAAGATAATTATGATAATATATCTAAAAAAGTGATGAATTGAAGCCAACTAGAGCACTGATACTCTGTATTTTCATTTTCACAGGACGCAGTTGAATCCGAGTATGTCTACCAAATGATTGAGGTTTAAGCATCATGAAGGAAAAAAGGATTGCATCATTTTTTACGATGTGTGGAATATTTCTCTATTTTCTGTTCCTCTATTCTGGAATGTTAAATGGTATTACTTTGCAGTAGATTAGTAAGATGCACTAAATGAAGTGCAAACTGGACAGATGTGTTTATAGTATTGAATATAACCTAATGTGTCATATGCTTTGTCATTACAATAGGACTGTGTTGATATATAGATGTGGTAATCATGATAATTGCTCCTATGATATTCCTTTGTATCTAAACATAACACAATCAGAGGGTGAAGCAGCAGAACATGGGAAGGATTTTAGCAGATCTTGAAGTCCTCTTCATGATGGAGCCCACAGGGGGAAAAACCCATCAACATGCAATAAATAAGCCATACTATATATAACTCTGACACCTTGCGTTTAAAACGGGGACTGCAATCCAAATTCTAAACATTGTAGAGAGCTGTCTCCCCTCGCCCCCTCTTCCCTAGAGTCAATGTGCACGCAGGTTGCCATGGCATGGACACTGAAGCTGTCAGAAAGCAACTGCTTATAAGCCAACGCAGAGGGTCAGTCTTAATGGGACCTGCTGATGGAGCGATGTCAAAATGAAAGGGATCAGTCAAAAGAAGGAAACATTTAGGGACTTTGAGTTTCTCCAATTAATGTCCTCTTATCTCTGAGGCTGAACCCTAGCTCTCCCCTGCTTTGGGAACATTTTCATGATTTTTTATTTTATTTTATATAGGCCTATTACACGTTTTTTTTAATGTCTTTAAAAACAGTTCTGTATGTATCCATTTATATTAACCCTGAGTTCTCTTGATTCAACTGTCCTTTACACCAGAGGTTCTCAACTGGTGGGTCGTGACCCAAAAGTGGGTCGTGGAGTCATTTTTGTCTCAAACTTAATGTTATGTGAAATGAATGGTTTCCATCCAAAAGTCTTTGCCTGTGATTCTTGTTAGAATAAACTTGCACACATCACAAAATCATCTTTATATACTGCTTTAAACTTTATCAGCGGCTCATTCTTTATTCAACAACTTGCTGTAATGTGTTTGATTCGTAGAAGCCATTTTAATGATGGTTAATTTAGTTTGAGAAGTCTGATTTAAGTTTGTGCTAATAGAGCATATATTTTGTATCGTTCTAAATAAGTATTTATTCATGGGAAGTATTTGTTTTGACATGGACACTTTTATGGTAAATAATGGTTTTATTTGGGCAGGTATTTTGAGTTATGGGTGGAGCTGATTAATTAATGTGGGTGCGATGCACAGGTGGTGAGAAAATGAGATCGTCTTTGTCTGTGAACTGTGGTGGAGGTATAGCCACACAGCACATGTTTGTTTTTATCCTATTTAAGTCATGAGTTTTTGATATTCATTTTGGATCTGTTGTGGAAAAAAGTGGAAATTGTTCGTGAATAAACAGAGAAATCAAACGAAACGACGGATCCGTGAGTTTATATTGAAGTGGACACGCATCAGGAACAAACAGGTCGGCTCTTATGACTCAAGGGACAATTTTTGCACGCTAGAAGACATTGCCACTACACATATTCTGAACTTCAGCTGTGATAATTATTTATTAACACAGAAACTTCTGGAGGAATCTGTGAATAAGGTTGTGACTTAAAGTCCTGAAAACTGCTGCAGATGAAGACGCAGTATTCAAACATTTCCGCATCTGTTATCTGGTTATAACTGCACTCCTGCCTGATATGTAGACATGTAAAAAGGTCCAGTCAACACGTGTGTAAAATGCGCACGTCACCTTTCTCGTTTATGAAGATGAACAAGTCCAGCTGCTGTTGTTACTTCAAATAATTAAATAAATTCAATGAAATATGTCTCAGTCTCATATAGGCCTATATTATTGAAGGGTCTTTTAAAATCATGAGAATGTGTGAAATACAGAACGCAACAATACGCACGTACGTCACGCACGCGCAGGATTCCATGGTTGCTATGGTCCGTTTCTAGGTGCATCATTTTGATCAGATCATCATTTAAACACAAACAAAAACTCTATGAGCCACGAAACTTGTTTCACGACTTTATCGCCACGATTTCTACAAAATTATCGATTCAACTGAGAACTTGTGACATCCTGAGCAGAATTAAAGTCTTCCCAGACAAACGACAAACTTCTGTCATGGAAAACGTAAGAGTTCACCACCTTTAGTCAATCTCCGGTGTTTACCGTCATGGTTACATTTGTCTCACCTGAACTGAACCGGATAAGGTTTGTTCAGAAGATATTTCCTCTGGAGTCTCATTTATGAATATTACATATATTTTAAACTAAATAAAGAAACTTTAGTGATGGAAAATGTCAGATTTGATCATTTTGACGATCTCCAGTGTTTCATGCAGACTGTCAGAACTGAACTACACCGGATTCATTTATTTAAAGAGACCAACAACTCAGTTAAACATTCAATTCATATTTATGTAGGCTAACTCTTTATTTTGATTTATTACATAATTTAAAGTCATCTACAAACATCCATCAAGGAAAATGTGACATTTAAAAAGTGTCGATCTCAGAAGTTATCATTCACACTTTGAGAAGCAGCCAGCTGTATCCATGTATTATCAATGTACTTTTAAAGAGATAAATATCCTCTGTAAACAATGTTCATGTGATATTTATATACATCTCATGAATTACAATTGAATAAACTTCCAGATGGGATACACAGTGATCCTCTGAATGTTAGTGTAGCCATGAGTTCAAATGTTTAACAGGCCCAAACTTCACCTCCTGAAAGTTCAACTGTTACAAGAAAAACAGTCAATAAATGAGGAAATATTCAGATAACTCACGAGAATGAAACCCTTTTCACATTTTCTTATTATTAAAGTCTAGATATACCTATGTGTGTATAGTTATGTATGAATGTTTTTACTCACATAATATAGGCTATAGGTTAATGTTAAACACATCTAATGGTAGTATGACTTCCTTTTTTTATTCAACATTTAGTTGTTATTTTCCTGTAAATTCTAAAGAGTAAGAATAAATAATAAGTTAGAAACTGTCTACAATTTTAAACTGTATATTTGTGGCTCTTAAAATTTATGATACGAGTACACAAAAACCCTCGACTAGTTTGCACCCATTTAACACAAACTGACACACAAAGGCATTCACTTTCTACTGACCTCAAGGTCCTGTTCTGAATTTGAAGATAGACATTGTTAATCTGATATTCAGTTATGTTTTCTTATTGCATTCACTGTAAACATAAGTCTGATTTTAACGTGTGTTTCTGTGTTTTGTTGCAGTTTGTTTTGCCCGTTCACCTTGCAGACCACAGCTACTGTCACAGAGGGAGAATCTCTGCACGCCGTGCAGACAGTGACAGGAAGCCCAGAGCATCCTGCAGAGACCAACAGGTACACTTTTTATTTTCAGATTTTGTTAAAAAAAAAAAAAAAAGTATATTGTTTAACATAAAAAGTTTGTGATGAAGAGCAAAAGTTAATTCTGCATGTGAAATTATTTTTGAATGATGAGTCATGATGTAAATTTAAAAAAGGACTTTAATGTTACAAACAAAATAGTCAAGGGGGAGTTGACACAAAAGGGTCTGCTATGCTGCCATGAGACAGGATCATCTATCTTTCTAAAAACTGATAGTGGAAATCTTTAGTATCACTCAAATGTATCAAGCATTAAAATACATTTTGTTGTCAAAATGTTATGCTGCAGATTGTTCTCTTGTGAGAGAAGTAGTTTACTTGTAAGAAGTTGACTGTAGCCTGACATCCTCTCTATGTTACTGACCTTCCTCATCTTTTAAACCCAAACAGCAGCACTCTGCTCATCCTCCCAGACCGGCCCAGAAGAGGAAGAGGACCTCTGCTGCTCGTCCTTCCACATCTTCTGCCGAACATCTGGTCCCGAGGCCTCGGTCCCCCATCCCACCTGCCGACCTGCCTCTGGTCTCCAACAAGGCCCTTGGCCCCCGACCCTCCACTGCTCCACTGCAGCCTGACGGAGATCTGAACATCTACAACCGTCCAGTGGAGGAGTTCCAGCTGATCTACCATGCAGTGGTAGACGACATGCTGAAGTATGTTTGTGATAAAAAAAAAACACAAAACGATTACTTTCTTCATCACCAATCTATCACACTTTTTCATCTCATGTATCGTTGTGTTTCATTTCTGTTTCTTTGATCCTCACAGATTCAAGAGCGGCAGACCTCGTCCTTACAGCCTAGAGCTCGGACGTCGCCTCAAACAGAAGCTCTGGGAGCGACTGGACCGTCCATCATTCACTGAATCAGTCCATGAAGATGGACGGATGCATGTGGACATGTCAGTGGGTGGGGACAGAGTCTATCCTCCCCTCTATGATGTGGACACATCAGGAGAACCAGAGCCCGGGAGACCTCCAGTGAAGAGAGCCAGGAAACAGAGCTCATAAAGACTTTGAGTTCACAAACATCAAACTCTAAATATGTAGTGTAAAGTTTGAACTCTTGATGAGTCACACACTGCAGCCTTAGACTCCACCAGCACCACCTTCCAGGACCAATTTTAAGACCTTGTTTTCATGCTCAATCTCCAACCAACAAACCAAACATCTACCTTAAGCCTCCTCCTACCGGACAACCAACCAAAGGAAGACGCAGCTTTAACAAACCTCCACCTCAAACCACCCAGCTGTGGATCAATGTTCTGCCTCCAACCATCTACCTCCCCCAGTGTCTGCCAGCAGCTTTTACCATCCAACTGCTGCAAACACTGAAAACATGTCAACCTCCACCTGCTACCTCAGCCAGACATCTGTATCTCCTCCTCCACCATCAGTAGATTCTGGCTGAAAGGTGCAGCCTGATCCTTGACAAACTGCCTCTGCCAGTAATTTGTTGCTGCGACCTCCACCTGCAGATTCTGGCAGAGATCATAAACCACAAACTCCAGCCTCTGTCACACACCAGCAGCCGTCAGCACCACCTGCTGGACACTTTAACAATCTCTGCCTCCAATTTGAAATATGTAGTGTTAAGTTTGAACTCTTGATGAGTCACACACTGCAGCCTTAGACTCCACCTGCACCACCTGGCAGGACAAAAAAAAGACCTCTGCAAACCATTTTAAGACCTTGTTTTCATGCTCATTCTCCAACCAACAAACTAAACATGCATCTTATCCTCCTCCAGCCGGATAAACAACCAAAGAACCACACAGCTTTAACAAACCTCCACCTCAAACCACCCAGCTGTGGATCAATGTTCTACCTCCATCCTGACAACTATGCACCTCCTCCAGCATCTGCAGCAGCTTTTACCATCCAACTGCTGCAAACCAAAATACCATGTCAACCTCCACCTGCTACCTCTGCCAGTCATCTGCACCACCACCACCACCACCACCACTACCACCACTTTCACCTGCAGATTCTGGCAGAGAGAACAAGCCTCAAACTCCAGCCTCTGTAACACATCGGCAGCCGTCCTGCTCCGGATTCCAACCACAACAACCCAAAAGAAGCCCGAGCATGCACCTAAAACTTCTGCAAGCAGAGTCTTCCAGACAACTGTAGACAAAGCCTTAACATAAGCATCTGCCAGACAACAGCCAGATCTGTCGCCTGCCAGCTACCTCCACCCCTACTAATGCTTCCGAACTGCCTCCACCTTCATCCAGCAACATGCACCTCTGTCTCCATCTGCAGACTGTTCCTTCTTTAATAATCCCACAGTTGATTTATGTGATTTCTTAATGGACGTCGTTGATGTACAGTGTTTTAAACTCACAGATTTTCTTTTTGCTTTTTTTCAGGTGGACTTCAGAGACATCCAGACGTACAGGAGCTGATGAAGGCCCATTCCGACAGTTCCTTCTGCTACAAGATCTGTGCACCAGAGATGTCTTTATCTCCTCCTCATCCTCCATCATCACCAGCGACTCCTGCTCCTCTCCTGAACTGAAAGCTCCTCTTCACATGGACCCTTCAACTCCACAAAGCTTCCTCTGATCTCCTCCAC